TCTCTAGTATGTCTTATACCCCTTTAAATATTATAAATATACAGAGATTATCCCAATGACCAGAAAACTTTCATCCAAAAGTTAAGTATTAATGTTGTGGTTTACTTCATCATCTCTCTTCATCCTTTTAAACCTTTCCAGGATTTAACATCATTTCTCCCAACTAAGAGTAGTAGGTTTATCATCTCAGGTGGGCCCAGGACCAGCCTATGGTTTTGCTCCGTCAGATTGAAGACCATGAGGCAGGAATGGCCAACTCGTATTCCAGAATGACCGCTCGAGAGCCATACCTGGAAACACAGCCGTTCTTTCTGCTGTGTCATTGGGGTCCCTCCAGCCTCTGGGCTGGAGTCTCATTTCACCACACAGTAAACACACACCCTCTGGGTTTCTTTCAAGTTTCAGTTGTAATCAGTTTGTGTACCTCTTTCAACATTTATCTCCTGACTTGGGTCAATGGACTTTCGTTCCCCATCCTGGGTTGCACCTAATTTCCTTTGCCACTTGACTGGATTCCACTAATGTCCTTGCTGCCTGAATGGGTTCTGCATGCCTTCCACATTTTTCCTGTCTGACTCTTGGCCACACGTCTGGAGCCACTTTACAAACAAATTGCAATTCCCCACTAGTTGGCATGGGTGTACCAAGTGGTAAAAAACTAAGCAAACCAGTTCTGAGCAAAAGAAAGGATTAGTTCCCACAGCTTGGTCTCCCAGGGGTGCTCCTGCTTTAGGTACAGCTGGACGCAGGAGCCCACGGGCGCCATTCCTCTGGACACTGCTTCCCTCTGCTCGCTGCCTTCCGGGCTGCTGAGGATGGAGTGGCTGACTGCTGACAGCTCTTGGCTTCAAGTGCACTTTTTCCAGAGTTGTGTTTTCATTCTTCTCAGCGTCTCCTGTGTGGTCATATAAGTTTGGGCAATACTATTTTAGATGACGTTAAAAAGATCATTCCAGGACTTCATAGCCAGTAAGAGGTACATGTACAATGTGGATCTCTACGAGGAGCACAGAAGAGCCAGCGTGCCCACGTCCCCTCGTTAAGGCAGCATCATCACCACAGAGCATCTCATGGAGCTAGTTTTCCTTAGAATACATCTCGGGACTCACTGACCTACCCTTGGTAGCTCGTGACCATTTTTACCCTGAATTTGGGGCGGAAAGACAAGTTGAAACTAAGTGGTTTTATATCTAGACAGGCTTCGCAGTGTCCCAAAGACCCAGAAGTGAAGGAGACGTGGCTGGCTTTCCGAGGGCGGGGACGGCTCTGGTTTCTGACATGCGGGCAGCTCGGGGGACACTGAGGCCGCTCTGCCCGGCATGGGCTTCCCTGGGTGTCACTGCCCCTTCATCGCATCACCAGTTGCCCTTCTCCCACTCTTCTGTGGGGCAGATCACTGACATCTACCTTTCAGGGCCAGCTCAGTTACAAGGATAAGCCTCAGGATGCTCTGGTCCTGAGGGGGAAGAGTCAGGTGTGTGATCAGTGCCCCGGGCCCCACTGGAATAATATCCTGGTGTTGAAAGGCCACAGAGGAAGAGCAGGTACAATTTCAAAGCAAAAAAATCTGGGGATGGATTCACGGGCACCTGTTACCAACTTCCGTCCTGCCTCCTCACCAGCCACACACCTCTCCCACCAGTCCTTCTTCATCACAGTACAGGAACTTTTCATGCATTAGATTCCTAATTGCAGAGCCGATGCAATGAAAGACTCGGGGTTTTCATTTAATCGTGAGAGCAGACTTGAGGCCTTTTCCATCTGTTATGTCGTGCTTTCCACAGCCTAGGTGGTATCATACACGTGTCACCCCTAAGGAAACTGAGGCACAGAGTTGTGATTTGTGAAAGAATGAAGTGGTGAGGGACCTGGGCTCCGAATCCAGTGCTGGTGGTGAGTTTGCATCAGAACGTGCCCCATCTCTCCTCTGCACATGAGTTCAGTAAGGAGGCATTTAATAAGCACCTACTATGTGCCTGGAGATGGAGGAGAGGTGACTCACAAGGCGAGGTTGACCTCGCTGCAGCGTCACCCTGCAGGTGCTGGCAGGGGAAGAGGTGGGCTGGGGTCAGGTAGCGTTTCACCCCCAGCTCTGCCCTACCTTTGCAGAGTGACCTTGGACGATGATTCTCACAGCCTCAGTTTCCTCATTATGAGGCAAGGCCACTTCTGAGTATACAGGAGAGTTGGCGAGAATTCGTGCAAATGTTGGCTGGTTGGCACATGGCAAGTGCTCCGTGATTGGCCTTGTTGTGAAAGGCGTGACCCAGGCCAGAGGAGCACATGTTCTGAAATCGATAGACAGTTCTGCATTTTAAACCCAAAGCAACATTGACTGAAAAGCACTGGTCAGGATACTTATTCTTTCAGCCTTGATTTCTTCATCTGTTAAGTGGGGAGGATAATAGGTGCCTTGCAGGAATGATATGGGGACTAGAGAGAGATGTATAATATATGCAAAGTGCCCTGCGCTATGCCTGACACCTGAGAGGCACTCGGCTGCCATCCCCGGGCAGCCTCTGCACAGATTTGGAAGGTAGGGCAGGCCTTTCCGTTGGAAAAAAACTAGAAAATGGTGTGAGTGTATAGAAATGAATCCAAATGTGTGAGATTGGGAATTCAGAGTTCAGAGAAGTGAGGGTGGGCTTGGGGATTTCGAGAAGGTCTCAAAGGAGGATTTGGAACCAAATGGAGGCCAGACCAAAGCAGTGGAATCACATGCGTGACGTTTGCTAAGACCCTGGAGCCTGGGACCTCCTGGACCCTGTGACTTCACAATACAGCGCCTCTGCCCTCGGGCTTCCTGCCTTTATCCTTCTACTTGGGGCTCAGGCACACATTTTCCCCTCATTTCTGTGGGACCCTCCGGGTGGGCTTTTGGAAGCCAAATAGGAGTGCTGGAGGGAAAGGCGATGAAAACAGATTTTCACTAAGCCTCTATCATCCTGCCCACCCCTCAGAGCTCAGGGAAGCACCTTGTACTAGTAAGCTGCTGGAATGAACTAGAACTTCTGATTTATTGAGGGTGGGCCTCACCCACCCGGCATTTCCGAGGCAAGACACGGGTGGAGGCCTGAGTGGTGGGTACAGTGGCTAAGTCAGCGCTTTGCTATCAGACAGAACAGGAGTAGTTGCTGGCTCACCATGCCTGCTGTATGAAGTTGAACCTGTGCCTCACCCCGTAAGCCTTGGCTTCCTCCCGGGAAGTGAGCTGTGCCGTGTGCCCGTGTGCACTGAAGATTACCATAAGGAATGCTGCCTGGCCTAGCAGGTTTGGCTCAGTGGATAGAGCGTCGGCCTGCGGACCAAAGGGTCCCAGGTTCGATTCCGGTCAAGGGCATGTACCTCGGTTGCAGGCTCCTTCCTGGCCCAGGCCCTGGTCAGGGCTTGTGCAGGAGGCAACCAATCAATGTGTTTCTCTCATATTGATGTTTCTCTCCGTCTTTCCCTCTCTCTTCCACTCTCTCTTAAAAAAAGGCAATGGAAAAATATCCTCGGGTGAGGATAAAAAATAAATAAAATTAAGGAACAATTCTCAAAAAAAAAAAAAAAAAGGAATGCTGCCTGGCATCACAGGAAAGAGGTTGACTTCAGAGTCATAACGGCCAGATCCCGGTCCTGCTCCACCACTGACTAGTGGTCCGGCCTTTCTGAGCCTCAGGTTCTCTACCTGTACAATAGGAAACCGTAGTGCTTGCTTTTATTTTCTCTAGATCAAGTAGAGTAGTGTTGGAGGCTTTTTTATAGCCCCATGAGTTTAAATCACCTGCGATGTACCTGCCAACCTGCAACCAAAGGAGAAAATGCAGCAGGCTTGGTGGGTTGGGGGGGATGGAGGGGGGGCTGTACATAGACAGGAAAGAGGCCTTTCTGAGGGTGACACTTCAGATGAGAAGGAGGCAGCGGCAAGTGTCCAGGAAGAGGGACAACAAGTGGAAAGCCCTGCATACAAGAACCCTGTTGGCTTAGAAGGAGCAGAGCCCATGTGGCCAGAGCCAGAGAGTGATGGAGAGGCTGGTGGGGACAGGACTAAGGAGGGAGGCAGTCAGAGGGTCTTGAGGGCCAGAGTAGGCGTGTGGGTTTTCAGTACCCAAGAAGCCACTGGAGGATGCGAAAGTGGAGCAGCAGGACCTGACTTACGTTTCAGATGGCTGCCCTGGGGAGAATGGCGTGTTTAGTAGTGGGCACAGCGCCCAGCGACCTGTTGGCTGTAACCTAGGTAGAGTCGGTAGCAGCTTGAACTATGGGGTGGCAGGTGCACATTGCAGCCGAGACGGCAGGACCACGCGGGGGATTTAGATGTTGTGATGGTGTGGGAGATGGCAAGGACGAAATAGAAGAATCGTTGCCCGGACACTTGCCTTGGGCCAGGGGTGCGGGTGGTCTCAATGGACTTGAGAGGTAGGCAGTGAAGAATTCTATTTTAGGTGTATCCTGGGATATGATTAGAGGTAGAGCTACCAGTAGAGCTCTCAGGCTCCTGCTTCCTTTCGTTGCCTTGGAGTGAAAGGCAGGAGTGGAGTCCAGAGTATTCGAACTTACTCTGATGCCCAAGGAGCGTGCTGCTACTGCATCTTTCTCTGCACCGCTCTCGGCTCTAGTCTCCAAAGCCATGGCTCCTGCTCCGCCGAGAGGCCTGGGAAGTGGCCATTGGCTTTTACAACGTTCCCGAGATGAAATTGAGGATAGGAAGTGGGTACTGTCTTTAGCCACCTCTTCCCGAGACGAAATTGAGGATAGGAAGTGGGTACTGTCTTTAGCCACCTCTGCTCAGGGAAGCACCCAGCCCTTTGGCTCCCATGAAGATGAGTCACGTCAGAAGCAAAGAGCTTTGTCTGGGGCTTCATGACACATGGAGCCCCGGGGATGGTGTGCATATGTTGGCACCGGCAGCCTGAGCTGGCGAAGGGAGCCCGGGGATGGTGTGCGTATGTTGGCACCGGCAGCCTGAGCTGGCGCAGCGGGAGGTTCTGATGCTCAGTATGTGTTTGTCTTGGCAGCTGGGATGACAGCAGCTCCGTCAGCAGCGGGATCAGCGACACCATAGACAACCTCAGCACTGATGACATCAACACCAGCTCCTCCATCAGCTCCTATGCCAACACACCTGCTTCTTCTCGCAAAAACCTGGATGTGCAGGTAAGGATCAAGTTCCCCACCCCCAGGCTCCCCCAGCAGAGAGCCTTGGTCTTGTGGGCCCAGGGGGCCGTCAGGGGTGAGCAGAATCCCCAGGTTCATGAGACAGGGCCCAATCTCCTGCTCACTGCCTATGTGTTGGTCCCCCAACGGTGGCCTCTGCCTGCAGGGGCGGGGGGCAGGCTCAGGGCACTGGAAATGGGAGTGGGAGGCCTCGCCACTCTCACTGTGGTGGCCTTGGTAAAATCATGTTTCCTTCCTGGACCTCAGTTTCATAATCTGTTTTTAAAACGATAGGACGCTGACTCAGTGGCCATTCTTAACCTGGAGTGTGTGTCCCTTCTTAGCCGTCCACAGGCATGTGTCTGATCCCTTGAGAACGATGAGGTGGGAACAAAGATTGAAAGCCCCGGATGGGAGGACCAGGACGTCCCGACCGGAGCTTGGGCCCTGTCCGGGTGTAGGTCACATCCTCCTGATGTGGTTTATGGGGCCCACGGTATTATTTTTCTTTGAAACTGAATTCCATGTCAAATTTTATAAATTGTGTTATTTTAACACAACTTTTCTCTTGGAAAAAAAAATCAGAAGATATTACCTCTTTGAAACTAGGTTCTCCAATGGCAACCATCAGCGATGCCCAGGTGTCCCGCCCTCCGGCCCGGCACCCAGGCCCCAGGGTGCACAGCTGCCTCACCCTGAGACACTTGCGTTTTCAACCCCTACCTGACGCGCTCAGCTGTTCTGTTTTGAATACAGTGCCACCTTGTATTTGCTTTCCAAGCAGTTTCCCAGGGGTCCATTCACTCACCCTCATCGCATTCCTGAGTGGTCGGAGGGAGGGTTGGGCCTAGTCGGCCCATTTCACTAGTGCAAAGCCAAGTGCCATCCTCACGCCTGGTCCCCAAGGTGGGCCTGGGCAGCACAAGGTCTGGTCAGTCATGGCCCTGGCATAAGGGGCTGTAATCTTTTCCATGATGGGTCTCCTCACCCGCAGCCGCGGCCTCTGGGGAACCCATGGAAGGTCTGATCCGGACAGAGTCTCCCAGAGGCACCTTGGGAGGGCAGAGCTGACCTGCCCCCTCCACTCCCTCCCTTCCATGTCTGTTCACTCCCTTCCTCATCTGCTTTCTTTCTCGGCGTTTCTCACTCTGTACAGATAGGGACTGCTTTGGAATCTCTTTGCTCTCAAAGGCATCTTTTCTTTGCGGATGAGTCAGAGTGTGGGAGTAATTCGGCCCCACAGAAAGGAGTGTTCACTGCCTGATGCCATGTAGTAGCTGTAGCCTCTAAGTCAGTGGTTCTCAACCTTCCTAATGCCGCGACCCTTTAATACAGTTCCTCATGTTGTGGTGACCCCCAACCATAAAATTATTTTCGTTGCTACTTCATAACTGTAATTTTGCTACTGTTATGAATCTTAATGTAAATATCTGATATGCAGGATGTATTTAGGCGACCCCTGTGAAAGGGTCGTTCGACCCCCAAAGGGGTCGTGACCCACAGGTTGAGAACCGCTGCTCTAAGTAGTTTGCCTGTGACTTCTTGAGTTTTCATTTTAGCCAGAATTTCTAATTATTGTTGGAGAGTGAGGATGGGTTGTAGTGGTTGTTAGGGGGGGAAAAACTATCCAGATGAAAGAGGCACGAAGATTTGGGGGTGCTGATAATGTTCTTTCTGTAGCTTGATTTCTGAGTGGTAGTTATGTAAGTTAAACTGATAAAATTTATTCAAGCTGTATACTTATGATTTCAAACTTCATTATATGAATCCTACACCTCAAAAAAAACCACAAAACCCTAAGTCACACTGCCCCAGAGTGATCACTGTTCAATCAGTGATCACACATGTTACAAGCTCCCAGACCACCTGTGTCCCTCCCACCTCCACTTGCCAAACGTCACAGTGTCCTCGGTTCTCCTTTCCTTGTGGACACCAATTTTTTCTCTGATATTCATCCTAATTTCATAACATACGTAACATAAATAACAACCGCTCCCATGCATCCTTAGATACTAAAATGGAGAACCAAGGAATTGACCCCCGGGTGTCTGCATTCAGGGGGCAGGCAGGCTGTGGGAGATGCTTGAGAGGAGAGAGGGAGGGAGGCGGAGAGGAGGGGACTGAAGGAGGGAGAGAGGCATCGAGGATCAGAAAATCAGTAGTTTCTCTTTTATTTACTCGCCAGCTGGGAACAGGCTTGCTCCTAAGACGCACACTAAGCAACAAAACACTGTTGGAGGAAGCTCCTGGTCTGTGTTCCCTCTGCACAAAGCCGGGGTGGAATCTATTTTCCACAGCGACACAGAGTTAGCATCTGGGACCCACAAATGCTTTCCTGTCAGGTGCACTTGAATCCGGTTCATGCCAGGCCCCTCCCCTCTTTGACCGGCTTTTTGCTTTCACCGAGCTCAGGTCACATCAGAACAGGTTCAAAAATACATGACCCTTGATCATGATCAGAGAGTTAATTACAAGGGACTTAAAGGGCTTAATATCCTTGCCCTAACCAGTTTGGCTCAGTGGATAGAGTGTTGGCCTGCAGACTGAAGGGTCCCGGGTTCGATTCCGGTCTTGGTTGCGGGCACATCCCCAGTCAGGGGTGTGCAGGAGGCAGCTGATCGGTGTTTCTCTCTCATCAATGTTTCAATGTTTCTAGCTCTCTATCCCTCTCTGCAAAAAATCAATAAAATATATTTTTATTAAAAAATTAAAAAAATAAATAAAGGGTTTAATATCCACTGGGTTGTTTTTGCTTAAAATGACCTGTGTTTAAAATCTATACTAATAAAAGGATAATATGCTAATTAGACTGGACGTCCTTCCAGACAAAGCGACGGTGGCAGAGGCCGAGGCAGAGGTAGTTAAGGGTGATCAGGCCGGCAGGGGAGGGCAGTTAGGGGGCGATCAGGCCAGCAGGGGAGCAGTTAGGGGCATCAGGCCGGCAGGCAGAGGTGGTTAGGGGCAATCAAGCAGGCAGGCAGGCGAGCGGTTAGGTGCCAGCGGTCCCAGATTGTGAGAAGGATGTCGCTCAAAGGGTCCTGGATTAGAGAGGGTGCAGGCCGGGCTGAGACACCGCCCCCCCCCCAACCCCCCCGCCGTGCACAAATTTTGTGCACCAGGCCTCTAGTATTTAAATAAAAGCCAAGCAAATAGGAATTGGAATAAAGCACAGACTTGCATCAATAGTTACTAAGATTCCTATTGCGATGGTCTCTGTAAGTGGGTTTTTAGTGGCACCCCTTTGTTCCTGCCCAGGGAGCATCTCCAAATATTTTAATCCGTGTAGATGCAGCATCCCCATCCTCTCTGCACCACTCGGGGACGGGGGGGGGGGGGGGGGGGGTGTGCAAAGGGCCATTACTCCTCCCCATCAGCAGCAGGCAGCGGGCAGATGTGCCTGGCCGGCCTTCCCCAGGGCTCACTCCGGTTCTGCACATACTGGTTCCCTGGGTGGGTGGGCAGCACAGTGTCCCAGGCAAGGCGGGGAGAGTCAGGGAGAAGCGGCTCAGCGTGTCCCCGGAACAGCAGGTTACCCTAGGTTTTCAGGTTTGAAAGCCTCTGAGGAATAGCTAAAGGAAGGACATCTAAGGAACAGGACGGTGTGGTCTGGAAAGCTTGAGATCGGCCTCATTTAGCTGCTGGAAGAGCAGGAGGCGCATGGGGAGGAGCGATCCTGGCAGATGGAGGCCCTGTCTAAGTGACTTTTCCTCGAGGATGCTGAGCCCTGAGCGTGCGCTGCCGAGGCACCCGTGCCCAAGTATCCGCCTTGGGCATCGTGCGCTGCTTCTCAGCGCCTGGGCAGACACTCCCCGCCGAGGCGCCACAGCCCCTTGACTGACTTCCTCCGGGACAGCTGGGCAGCCTGCTGGGCAGCCAGACCAGGTTGTGGGTCAGGGAAAAAGTGTGGACATCCTTGGACAAGCTAACCAACCTCTCCAAGCCTCTGCCTCCTCGTCCATGAAATGACAGTAAATAGATCCATCCTGCAGGGCGAGAGTGGGGGTGCCCTGGAAACGCTTTATCTGACCTCTCTCGTTTGGTGCCTGGTTCTCGGTAGCTGCTCAGAGTTACCTTGTTTCTTTCTTAATTTCCTCTGGATTACTTGTCCCCTGTTTTATATGCAAGGTAATGATCTTGGGGAAGGTAAGCCACCTCCTGCAGGGTCACACACAGCAAAGGAGTGGCAGCATCCAGTCCTTGAACCTAAAGTCTGCCCGACTCCAGCCCATGTGCTCCCCCGCCATTGTGCCCCATGCCCCCCCCACCCTCCCACCCCCCACCTTCGCTGCTCAGCCCCACCTTGGTTCCACCCTGTCAGTCTGAGGATCGGCCTCCCCGCCGTGGGCCCTGGGTCACGAACTCTCCAGTCTTCAGGCCTCTCCCCTCTCCTGTATGGCTGTTTCCCCACCTGCATGTTGAGTGACTAAATGGACTTCCAGGTAGGGGCCATAGGAAAATCCTTCCAACATTAGGTGCCATTTGAGATGGGAACAGCTGACAAAGGCATTAAGAGGTTGGGGGCGGGGGACGGGGGGTGTTAGGGGTGGGGATACAGCTGGCTTGTGTTGGAAGCCTTGGGAACAGAAAGGCTGGGACCGTTTCATCTTTTGATCCCTAGTGGAGCCACCAGACGGTCTGGCGTGCGGCTCAGGGAGGGCTTGCTAAGCAGATAGGAACTTGAAGGCAGCAGTGTCCCAAGCAGACACCCAGTGTGCAGAGCAGCGCGGGGGAGGCTGCCTCCAGGCCCGAGTTGTGAGGGTGTGGTGATGGGGTGATCGTTCTTTACAGAGGGGGACTCTAGCCACAGACCTGAGCCAGGGCTACGAGCACTCTCTGTGCCACTGGCGGAATCGGGGTTCTGGGGGTCCCACCCGAGAGGCTAGGCTGGAGCTTCTCAGGGGTCGGGGCTGGGGAACAGCCAGCGAGCCAGTATGGAAAGAGAACCCACTGGGTGCTGGGATGGTGCTAGGAGCCGCTGGGCAAGCAGAAATGCCTCGTGTCCTTGGGCTTATTCTCCAGGAAGGCAGCGTGGCATAAAGGCATAAAACGTGGACTCTGTGGAATCAGTCCTTGCACCTCCACTTCCTCACTGTGTCATCTTGGACACGTTTCCACTCTGCGCCTCAATTTTCTCATGTCAAGTTGAGACCGAACTGTAACTTCCTCAGAGATTTTTGGTGAAGATTAAATTAAATGACACGTGTAAAGCACCTTAGCCCAGTGCCTAACACACAGTACGTGCTTAATAAAATGCGTTGTTACTATTACTGCCACAATTTTATTAGGGGAAATAAGGCATAGGAATGACTATTAAAAGAACGAATGCAGAACCCCAGGATGTGGTACATGCTAAGCTTTCGGTACCTCTTAGAGTATATTGGAAAGTGTTACAATGTATCTACACGATAGCAATGATTTGTACTTGATCTTGGTCATTGTAGTATTCCCAGTGCCTCAGAGCTTGCCTGGCAGGGAGCGGCCCCGGACAAACATTTTAAGTGAATGCTTCCAGAGCCACACTTTCATGCCCAGGGCCTTTGCTCATGCTCTTCCCTCTGTCAGGCATGCTCTTCCCTAAACTCTTCTCTTAGCAAGTTTCTTTTCATTCTTTAGGGCACTTCTTCAGACAGGCCTTACCTGAACATTGTCCCTGCTCTCATAATCTAAATTACGACAATGCCTGTATTTCTCTCTCAGACACCTTATCCTTACAACAGCCTTCATAATTCACAACTAGTCATTTGCTTGTGTTTATTTGTGCAATCTCTGCCTCTTTCGCTGGATTGTACGCTCCAGGAGTGTGGAACCAGTCTTACCCACAGATCCTCAGGCCCTGCACGGTGCCTGCAAGCAGCGGGCACTGAGATCCTGGTTGAATGGGTATCCTGGAATTGTTCCGAGGAAGGAGCGCGGGGGGACAGGGCGTGCGTAGCTTTGGTTTCCACGCATCTGTAAAACTGAGATGAAGACAGCACTCCTTACCTACTTACCCTATTGCACCAGGTAGTCCCCGGGATCAGATGACATCATTTTGTTACAATGCAGCGCAGTGGCTTGGAAGGCCTGTGTTCCCGCATTTTCTCACTCAGCCTCCAGGGAGCTCCTGCTCTGTGCTCAGGGCGGGAAGTCTCCCTCTGTCCCTCTCCACAGCGGGGTGACGGGCTCCCCACAGGTGGGGAGGTTTTCGCCCTCCTCATGTCTCTGGTGCCTGGTCAGCAGCAGGAACTCAGTACGTGCTGAGGAATGACCGAATGCACGCGTCACGCGGCTGTCGTGGATGAGTGGAATTCATAGGGGGTGAAGGGGTTGAGAGAGAGGAGTTCGTGGTGGCGACAGAGAGACGATTGAGCGTGGGCTGCTCGACAGAGAGACGATTGAGCGTGGGCTGCTCGTCTGTATTTACACTTTATCCCTCCCAGCCAGTGTATTTTTGTGGAGGAAGGTGGCCAGGTGATCATTTTGATTTCCTGCCTTGCTGATGGTGCCCACTCTCTGGGACTTCTGTCTTAGTATGGCTTCTCCCACGGGCATCTCCTTGGCCTGGCCCCACCCTGAGGGAGGCCCCCAAGGCGATCTGGTTAACTCCTGGGAGGCCCCCAAGGCGATCTGGTTAACTCCTGCCTTTTCACCCAGTGAATCATTGACATCACACTTCTGCCCCCTCCTGGGTTCCATGGCCAGCAGGTCAGGGCTCTTCCAAAGAAAGCTGGCACCGGTCTGAGCAGAATCCCACAGGAGAAACGAGGCAATGGGCACAGACACGGAGCTGGGATAGGAGCAGGCACCGCTGGCTGTGAGCTTGGGGGGAATGGCTTTGGAGGATGTGTTTCCTCTCAGCCCCTCTCCCTCCCTGTAGAAGTAGCAGCCACCCTCGCCTGCTCGCTCACTGGCTCGGAGCTCACTGGCTCCGAGCGTCAGGCAGGCGCTGCGCGAGCTTCAAAGCTCTCACTGCCAGGGGAGTGATAGGGAGCCGGCAGAACAAAGGGAAACAGCCAGGAGGCTGGATGCTGGCTAGAGACCAGGCTGCCCGAGTTAGCGGAGGTCTGTCGCCAAGTGGCAGAGTTGGTGGCTGAATTCTCGCCACATCCCCGTCTGCTCACGGCTCTCTGTGGGGCTCTTTCCCTCGTGTTCTTCTGGCCCCTTGTACTCTCCTTCCTCACATCCCTGTAGGGCATTTATATTCTTTACTTTCCTTGGACCCCAAAAATCAGGCTTTCTAATAAGATAACCAGAGTACCAAGGCCCGATCATTTTCAAGGGGTTACTATTCTCCCCTTAATTCGTCCTGTGTGTTGGCATTTCTGCTCTGTGGTGAGGGCCTCTCTAACCTGTGGTTTGGAGGGACTAACTCGGAGTCTCACCCACAGACCGACGCGGAGAAGCACTCGCAGGTGGAGAGGAACTCCCTCTGGTCGGGCGATGATGTCAAGAAGTCCGACGGAGGGTCAGACAGCGGCATAAAGATGGAGCCGGGGTCCAAGTGGCGGCGGAATCCCTCGGACGTGTCTGATGAGTCTGACAAAAGCACGTCGGGCAAGAAGAACCCTGTCATCTCCCAAACGGGCTCGTGGCGGCGAGGCATGACCGCTCAGGTGGGCATCACCATGCCGAGGACGAAGCCGGCTGCCCCGGCGGGCACGCTCAAGACGGCGGGAACCGGTGAGTGAGAGACAGACGCTGTCTTGCATCCACAGGTGTCAGTTTGAAAACCAAAACTGCAGTCACTCTAGCAAGGAATTGTGTGTGTGGTTTTAAGTCCCTGTAAATGCTCAGGTATTTGTTCTCAGGGTGTACCAGTGATGGCGAACCTTTTGAGCTCGGCGTGTCAGCATTTTGAAAAACCCTAACTTAACTCTGGTGCCGTGTCACATAGAGAAATTTTTTGATATTTGCAACCATAGTAAAACAAAGACTTATATTTTTGATATTTATTTTATATATTTAAATGCCATTTAACAAAGAAAAATCAACCAAAAAAATGAGTTCGCGTATCATAGGTTCGCCATCACTGGTGTAGACTCTGCTAATAATCCTCTTTCAAACAGGTTCACAGCTCTTCCTCTTTCCAGATGGAAATATGTGAGTGTGAGGGCTTAAGTCTGCAGATGGTTTCATGGCTGAGGCCGCAGTGAACGAGTGTGACCGTGTGCTGGTCAGGAGCTAACCCTCAAGGGCACACGGTCAAGTGTTTATAAACTGTTGGTATGTGGAGTTGATATTGTCCATGACTGAAGGGTGTGTGTAAACGGGGGAAGTGTTTTTGCAGGAAGTCAGGGGTGCCTCCTGGAAGTGTTAGGAACATCGTTTTAATGGACAGAGGGAGAAAGTTCAGTAAAAGTCAGGGTCTCTTCCCCAGACACAGCGGTGATTGGATGGCTTGACTTTGCTCTGGGTAAATTCAGATGCTTTGCAAGTGAGTAGAATTGCTGACATCTCCTAAAAGTCTCCCAGTGACAGTGGTAGACTAGATTGTCTTTCTAAAAAGCTGTCTTCTGCCTCCCAAGGCGCTGCTCTCCCCAAGGGGAAAGTGAGCCGGTTCTTTGAAGAAGGGGAGGATTTTAAACAGGCTGAGCTGATGAGCTGGCTTCTCGGTTTGCAGGTTAACTTTGCCGATTTCTCTCCCAGGAAAAACCGACGATGCGAAGGTGTCCGAGAAAGGAAGGCTCTCTCCCAAAGCCTCCCAGGTGAAGCGCTCCCCGTCCGACGCCGGCCGCAGCAGCGGGGACGAATCCAAAAAGCCCCTCCCCGGCAGCGCCAGGACGCCCACTGCCAATGCCAACAGCTTTGGGTTCAAGAAGCAGAGTGGCTCGGCCGCCGGTCTGGCCATGATCACGGCCAGCGGGGCCACCGTCACCAGCAGGTCAGCCACCCTGGGCAAAATCCCAAAGTCGTCGGCACTTGTGGGTCGGTCCACTGGCCGGAAGACGAGCATGGACGGGGCTCAGAACCAGGACGACGGGTACCTGTCCCTCAGCTCCCGGACAAACTTGCAGTACCGGAGTTTGCCGCGGCCCAGTAAGTCCACCAGCCGCAATGGGGCTGGGAACAGGTCTAGTACCAGCAGCATCGATTCCAACATCAGCAGCAAGTCCGCAGGCCTGCCGGTGCCCAAGCTGAGGGAGCCTTGCAAAACGGCCCTGGGCAGCTCTCTGCCGGGTCTGGTCAACCAGACGGACAAAGAGAAAGGCATCTCATCCGACAACGAGAGCGTGGCTTCCTGTAACTCAGTGAAGGTGAACCCGGCAGCCCAGCCTGTGTCTAGTGCGGCTCAGGCCACTCTCCAGCCGGGCGCCAAGTACCCTGACGTGGCCTCTCCCACGCTCCGCAGGTAGGTGGGGAAGTGGCCCTGAGCAGAACTGGAATATATGGAATGGTGTCCTGGATTCATAATTTCCTGTTTCTCAGTTAAAGCAGCCTCTGTTTTCACCACTTTATCAGTCCTAGGATAAAGTTGTTTGGTCAGATGCTTCCAGCAGCTTTGCAGTCAATTATTTTTCCATGTTAGTTTGAAAATCATAAGCCCCTGCAATCAATCATCCTGGGTTCAAATCTTGGGTTCACCTTAATTAGCCGCCACGTAAGCTTTCTTAGCAGTTATGCCTCAGTTTTCTCATCTGTAAAATGGGGGGACTGATACCCACCTGAGAGTTCTTGTGGAGATTAATCTTGTGTAGCAATACTGGCCCCTAGTAAGTACTCAATAAAAGTTAGCTACCATCCAGATCTGGATGGGTAGCTCAGGGAAGCAGAAAGTTCTTGTCTTGTTAATTCTGTGGCTGAGATTCCTCATCATTATGCTAGACAGTGGTCTTGGCCAGATCCTTCACTCAAACAGTCCAATATTCTCCGCATGTATTTATAACTGCATGTATAATTCCGCATTAGTCTCTGAAATTTTAGTTTCCTTAAAATAAAATTAAAAAGCCTCTAAAAAGGAGAAATTGGTTTCCTATTGCCTTTTAAGGTAATAGGAATAAGACATTTTCTCACATTTCCACCCTGGATGGAAATTTTTACATGAAAATATGATTCGCTGTTTTTTCTTAAACTTTCTTTTAAATGTGTGCGGTTGTTGCCTGTTCATAGTATCTCATCATAATATCCATGTCCACTGGACCATCCTCAAACTGCATATGCATAGGACAGGGCTTATTCTACCTTCCCAGGGAATTTCTTGTCATAGGAAAGAGTAAGTCTCAAGGACAGAAAACCGAGCAGTGAAAAAAACAAAAATTATGTGCACATGTACATATTTGGGGATGGATCGGAATGTTTGAAGAGACTTCAGAAGCAGCATTCCACATGAAAGGTATAATGAGGCAGCTCAGTGCTTTGTCTAGACTTGATTATTAGAATTTCAGTAATGATTACTTTTTTTTTTTCAGGGGAAGGTCCTATTGGGCTGCTCTTTGTTCTTTTAACAGATTGCCTTGTAAATGAAATTTTTCTCTGCTTCTTGCCTCAAGTATTCTATGTAATATTCGCTCTTTGGTATTATAGATTTCCTTTAGTGACTACAAAGGCATTTTACTAGACCCTTAGGCAAGTGTAATAGAATGCTTGAAAATGCAGCAGCTTCTTAGGTTCAACACAGAACACCTTTCAGCCAATGCCTGGCAGTTTCATTGTTTACTGACTCCTGAAGGCGCTCTCAGTGCTCTCATTGTGCCTTGGTTTGGAGAAGGTAGGCCTTAGGTGGAGTGTGATAACTCTCTTTAAGGAAAACGCGGCCTTTCTTCTGTGTAGTTACACAGAGCAGGGTCAGGAGCAATGAGCAAACGTGAAGATGGGTCCTATTTTGGTTTTCTCGTTGGAAGTGCTTGGCACTGGGATGAGCTACGCCTTGACATAATGAGGTCCCCATTGCCGGAAGTGTGTAAGCATCCTAAAGCCACGATTGTGCAGTCAGATATTTCATTCTCTGATGGTCACCGGGCCAAAGTGTTTCTCATCTGTCACCAGATATTGTAGTGAGGACTGGTTAATATGGTCTGTCGGTTGTTTGTTTTCACAATAATTGAGAATTGTAAAGAACTGTTTGGAGAAAACAGAGATCAAACTGACCGCACTGAGGAGCTTGGGGAAAGGCAGAGTTTGAGTGGATGGAATTACTTGCGTTACTGGAGCGTGTACCGTCCCCCTGACTTAAAGCAACTCTGCCCCTCTACCAGGTATCCCTCCGCCAATGGAAGAGGGAGACATGTGTGCCATTGCCTGTGTTCTAACAGCACTGTTTTGGTCACCAGCAGGGGGGTGACATGGAATGGCATTTCTATGTGTCTGTCACAGAGACACAGTTCACACTGAAAGTCTGGTCTAGCGCCCTGCGAACTCAGCAAGGTTTCTGTGGTGCTAGCACTCTGGCCCTCAGAGCACATCTTTCAGGCGGGGCTTGCCTGTGAAGATGCTTTCCCCGGGCCCCATCCAGATCTAGACTCAGGTTCTTGACTCTGCATGCTGTGCTTAGAGATCTAATCGGCCAAATCCCCGCAGTTAAACTGCCCTGGGGTCATGGATGCAAAGATGATGAAGGCAGCTCTTTTCCTTCTAGATGTTTCCCGGGCCAGGGCAGTTTTCTAGCTACTCTTGGAAAGAAAGGGAAGCGAGATCTTGGATGAGCATGCATAGTCCTGTAGAAAACTGTTCCTCAGGGTCTCAGCTGCAACTGGAGGCTAGACTCGTGTGATGCACCAATCCCAGTGGCCTGTCCCCTGGATGCCTGGAGCCATTTCAGTAGAAACAACGGTGCCCTCCCCCAGGGACTCCCAGGCTCCTGTCCCTGTGCCCCCGACTCTAATAGCTCGCAGCCCCTTGGTTCTGGGTGTTCAACCCAAACAACCCTTTGTCTCTTCACAGACTCTTTGGTGGGAAGCCTAGCAAGCAAGTGCCCATGGCCACAGCTGAAAACATGAAAAACGTGGTGGTCCTCTCCAATCCTCATGCCACCTTGACCCAGCCAGGTAACTTAGAGTCCCCCTCGGGCAGCGGCGCCCTGAGCAGCGGGAGCAGCAGTCCTCTCTACAGTAAGAATGTGGACATCAACCAGTCTCCGCTAGCCTCCAGCCCCAGCTCAGCCCACTCAGGCCCCTCCAACAGCCTCACCTGGGGCACCAACGCCAGCAGCTCCTCAGCAGTTAGCAAGGGCTTCCAGTCCGTCAGCAGCCTGCACACCAGCTGTGAGTCCATCGACATCTCCCTCAGCAGTGGAGGGGGGCCGAGCCACAACTCCTCCTCGGGCCTCCTCGCCTCCTCTAAGGACGACTCCCTGGCTCCCTTTGTGCGAACCAACAGTGTGAAGACCACACTGTCCGAAAGGTTGGTGGTGTGCGTCTGGCTGCCTGTATCTCTCAGAAAGACACCCTTTCAGGAGGCAAAGGATTATGTCAGGAATCCCAAGTGGCAAGTCCCCTTTGCCTGGGAGACGGCCCTCTTTCTTATCACCGATGTCTTCCTGTAGGAAAGCCAGTTTGGGGTAGAATGAAACTCGGCTCTGCTTCCTGTTATCTTTTTCATTGTGGTTATTCTCAGTGTTTGGAGCCACTGGAAGTCTCGTGGGGGCAGATTTAATGTATCCATCCGAAATGGCATTCCACCTTTGAAATCCTTCCATCTTATTCTGTTTGTTCTTTTTCCTCCCGCTGTAATTGTGTAGGCAGAGTGGGTGGCCGGCTGCAGCCACGGGGGGTGTGGCAGGATGTTCTTTAGGCAGTGAGCTCGATTTCGCGGTCCTCATGGCAGACACCCTCCTACTGAGGGGCTGCTGGCCAGTGAGAGGAGATCAGGAAACCAGAAGCACCCCCAGAGCTGCGGGTCCCGCTGCCATGGTGGTGTGTCCATTGTCTCCCTGGGTATGAGAAAAATCACTGTATATAACGACTCCTCCCCTTTCTTCCGATCTAATGTTCCTTCTCTTGTTTTCTACCTGCCTGGACTTCTAGCCCTCTCTCCTCCCCTGCCGCTAGCCCTAAGTTCTGCAGAAGTACTTTGCCCAGGAAACAGGACAGGTAATGACATCATAGGCCCGGGACCCTACCGAGCCTCCAGGTTCCTCTGCCCCTCTGTGTTAAGCCAAACGTTTTGTGTGAGGCTGTTGGCCTGAGGCTTCCGCTTGTGCTCGTGGCTCCGGTGTAGTACGTGACCCCCAGACATGCCAGTGAGGGTCTGTTCCGCTGTCCAGTGAAGCCCCGAGAGGCGGGCTGGGCTGGCCCCTCCCTTCCCAGCTAGGGAAGGAACCGCAAACCTGCACTTGAACTGGGGCGGCAGAAGCTCTCACTTGCATCTCAGCCTTCCTGTGGCATGCTCCTGCTTCCCCCCCTTCCCTCCCCCTCCCCTCCCCTCCGAGTCCAGAAATGATCTACCACCCACCGTGCAGCTTGGCCCTCACCTTTGTCTCCCACCCCCTCGCTCCCCTCGCTCCCCCTGCTCCCCACGCAGCTGGCTCTTCTCCCTTTCCAAGTCCTTTGCTGCAGTTTGGCTCCGTCTGTTTTGCAGGCTGCTGTGTTCCCCGTGCCCATTTCCTGTAACAATAATGAAAAAGAATCTGTGGCGCGTTGAGACTTTATAAATGAAGAGGCTTGTTTGCCCCCAGCTGCCCTGTGGGTGGGCCTCAGAGATGGATATTGACCTGAAATTTGTGGGGGAGGCATGGCTTAGCCAAACATAACAAACAGATGTTGTTTCGTGCTAGAAAAAAAAAATTAATGAAAACCCTCTTCACCCCATCAACAGCAAAAACTTTGTTGTTGTCAGACTCACAGACCAAGCCTTTAAACCCTGGTTCTTTGGAAATCTGAATGCCTTGACTTTATCAGCCAGCAAGTTGTAACACGCCCCGACTCGGGCCCAGGGCTCAGCTCCTAGCTACGTCCAATAAGGACTGCAGGAACGGAGAGGGACCCGGAATTCATGAGTGAATTCCAAATATGCAGACGGCAGGCCTCTTGAAACCCTCCTACAAGTCCCTTCTCTCACTGAAGTCACTGCCGGTGGCACTGGGCGTGGCCCCGAGGTAGGGGCGCAGAGAAGCTGGCATCTCTCTCTCCGAGAAGCAGTAGTGATGGTGCAGAGATGGGCGACGGGGCGGCGGAAGGCACGGGTTCTGCTTCAAGGTGCGGCAGCCCCCGAGTGTGGCTTTGAACCTGGGGGGTTGAGTGCCTCAGGCCTCCGGGGGTAAGGTACGCACTGGGTCAGCGCAGGCCAGGGCTGGGCTTCTTTGGTTTCCCGTGGAGGTGCTGCATGGCCAGTGGAGAAGGAAGCGCCTCTGGTGAAGTGAGTCTCTTTCCCCAGATCTCGTCAGCCCCGTCTCAGCCTTTCCCTCCTCACACCGCCTGCTTTTTCTGTGCTTCTCTGAAGTTCTCATTTTTGTTTTAACTTTCCTACAGTGACCCGCACCTTGATAGGAACACTTTGCCTAAGAAAGGACTCAGGTATCTTGTTTCCTCCTTGCATCCATGCCATGTGGTGTGGCTTTGGGGCTTGGCTGGTGGGGATTTGGGCTGGGCTGGGGTCCCCGCTTTGGCCACCGCAGTCAGACCTTGGATGAACGCTGCCTCACACCCTCTCATTCTCATCTGTCCATTCGTTGGTTTATTTGCTTGAGCAGAGGCTGTGCTTTTGGGGGGCTTAATGTGGTGAAACCGTGTCATGAACAACATCCCTGTGAAGCCCAGAGAGCAGTTCCTGCTGTTTCCGGGGCCAGGGGGTCTAATCGTTGAGCATGTCACCCTGACCATGCAGTTCACAGGCTGCCTTCTGAGACAAAGACTTGACTTGTAGCATGTTGATTTGTTAGCCAGGACGCGAGCCAAGGAGGAAGGAAATATCACCCTCAAGCTTAAAAATATTTAGCTTTCGGCCCATAGAAAATTACTAAGGACAGATACTTTGCACTCATCTGAATAATAATCAAAATTCGCGTCAGTTTCCGGTGCCCAACAAGACATCGGTATGATCAGCTTTTGGTGAAAAGAAGTCTATGAGGAAGTAATGTCCTCTCGTTCATTGTAAGTCTTGGCTTGGGCTCAGTTGGATGCTAGTCCTGATAAAACAAGATGCTATAAGTCACCATGGCTTCCACCATCTACTTCACTCTGCCAATCGGAGGAACTTCAGTTCTGACGCCTGCCGCGTGGTCTAAACATCTCGTGGTTGCAGCTGTCATTTCTCCTGCTCTCTAAATGCCTCCTTCTTTGTAGCATCAGCTTCACCCTGCACTGAGCATTACGTGCTTTTGCAAAAAATGGAACGTGAGATGAAATGTTTCAACACTGTCATGTCTGTCTGTAGTTGATAACCTGTAGCTCGTAAGGCTGAGAGCATTTTGAACAGTAATGTGAGGTAGGTATCAATGCTTCCTTTCTATAGGAGCTCCGAGTAAAGCCAATTCTAGGAATCTAAAAATCACAGTATTGGAAAATTCCCCCAGCAGACGTCCTGTGGGAGGGGGTTCACCAGTGTGGCCTGAGAAAGGGGAGCTGGCAAGGCCTTTTGTACCTAACAGTGTGCATCATGCTGGGCAGGGCTGATTGTTGGCAACCATGCTAGATGCTTCCATTTCGGCCACTTTTAACATGAGTTGGATTTGATGCCCCACTGTTGCCCCCAGAGGACGCTAACCTCTCTAAATATTGACATTTCAAAATGCTGGATATATTTCTTTCTGGAGCAGACCTATCCTATGAAAATTATGTAGCTCTGGCTTTCTAAAATTTGTGTTTTTTTTTAAAAAATTAGAATAGGGATATGTGGCAGGCTGTCTACAAGCAACTGATGGGACCTAGAAAGTTACATGTCCATCAACTAGAGTGAAAACATGAAGGAAGACACATTTTATATTCCCTCTCACTCTGACTTTCCCTTTCTAGCTCCCTCCCTCCATTCACACACATCCAACCCCAGCACACCTACAACTCCTCACAACTCCTCTCGTAAGCCAAAAGAATCCCGAGGTTGACTTAATCAGTAGCTACCTCATGGCAATCTGTTTGTAAATCTAAGGTTTCTGTGGCTACTTGAGTGATTTAGAAATTCTGTGATTTTATTTATTTTTTTTAAATATATTTTTATTGATTTTTTACAGAGAGGAAGGGAGAGGGATAGTTAGAAACATCGATGAGAGAGAAACATCGATCAGCTGCCTCCTGCACACCCCCTACTGGGGATGTGCCCGCAACCAAGGTACATGCCCTTGACCGGAATCGAACCTGGGACCCTTCAGTCCGCAGGCCGATGCTCTATCCACTGAGCCAAACTGGTTAGGGCGAAATTCTGTGATTTTAGATCATGTCTGTGAAGGCACTCAGCCCATTGGAGACATTTGATAAACTATTACCAAAAATGTCAATGAGGAGGGGGACTGTGGGACTTCTGCAGCCCCTCCCCTGTGTGAAACCCAACGACTTGGGTTCCTTTTGTGAAGACGTGTTGATGCTAGATTGCAGTGGCATCACTGTCCTCACACTTTTTCGTGTCTGGTTTCTGACATGCCGTGATTCATGGCCACCTGTGTGTGCTCTAGAAGGCTGATGCCCTGAGCTCTCTAACTAAAATCCTCCAAGCTCGAACCGCAGCTTGTTTGGTTGCTTCGGTGCCGTCAGGGTGGGGGCTTGGACATGACACTGTCGTGAATCAACATGTTACAGATACGCCCCGTGACGGCTCTTCTGAGCGTTCACCGGTCTTGCTCCCTTTATGTGTTCTCTCCAAACTGACAGGAATTGCAATTTTCCCTAAAGGCGGCCAAGTAGCAAAAAACTTGGTAGGTTTCGGGATATATAGTGATCGGACTTTTTTAAACATCAACTTTGGATGTGTGTTCCTCGTCAGCTCCCCGGAGTTCATTATCTCTAAGCGTCGTTCATAGTTAATCCAGCCTGATTTCCGTCTGTCCAGGTACACCCCCACCTCCCAGCTCCGCACACAAGAAGACGCAAAAGAATGGTTACGGTCCCACTCTGCAGGAGGCCTGCAGGACACGGCTGCCAATTCCCCTTTCTCCTCCGGCTCCAGCGTCACTTCTCCCTCCGGAACGAGGTTCAACTTCTCTCAGCTTGGTGAGTAGCCGCTTGTCGTTAGCTGTGTTGATCGGCTCCCTGGGGCAGAGGTCAGCTTGTGCTTGGAAGAGAGCTGTTGGTCATAGACGTGTGGTCTCCTCCCGCTCGGGAGCTGGCCAGCCCTCTGCAATGCAGTTTGATTACAGGAGATTGGCAGCAAAGGAACTAGAGGAAATGGAAAAGTTTCTGATACTCTAATCAGTAATAGTCTTTCTGTGGTTGATAGAGTTGGAGCTAACCATCCCATTTTTTGAGAAAAATGTACCCTATTTCTAAGACCTAAAGAAGCAAGTTGTAGCCCTAGCCAGTTTGGCTCAGTGGATAGAGCATCGGCCTGCGGACTGACGGGTCCCATGTTTGATTCTGGTCAAGGGCACATGCCCGGGTTGTGGGCTCGATCCCCAGTGTGGCGCGTGCAGGAGGCAGCCGATCAATGATTCTCTCTCATCATTGATGTTTCTATTTCCCTTCCTTCCTCTCTGAAATCAATAAAAATATATATTTAAAAAAAAACACACAAAAGAACATGTCCCATGTTTGGTCATCCTCATGCTTTCTTAAGCTAGAGATAAAAACCATGTTTTGATTGAACAAGTATTCTTGGAAGTGCCCACTCCTGACATGATGCTTGGACAGGCACAGTGGGGAAAGGAAAAGAATGTGTGACACGGTCCCTGCTGACTAGTCAGGGGATTCTGTTTGTAGGAAACCATGTAGAAACGGAATATGATCAGGTAGCAAGTATCAGTCACAGTTAGGAACAGGGAAGGTCAGTCCTGGCGGGAATTACAGGGAAGGTCGCATGAAGGTGGCAGGATGGGAGCTGAGCCTTGGAAGGCTGATGGGAGGGAGGAGGGACCTTCCTTTGAGAGGCCGCCCTGCCTTTCCTGAGTACTATTGTGAGCAATAAACTCAGTCTTTAAGGACAGGTGTGGCTTGGAATCGAGTCTGATTTAATGCAGCATTCTCAGTTAACTAAAGGGATACTTCTGAAATATTGGATGTTACTAAAATGACTGGATTTTAATAAGAAAGCTGGCTTCGGCTAAGGTAAATGTGCCGCCTCTGCACCGAAGCTCTTGAGGCTCCCTTAGTCAGTGTCCCCCATCCGAGGCGACGAGACCCGTGTTCATATTGTTCTTTCTCAGCCGTAACTCTTTGAGGCAGGAGTTTCTTGTCATGCACAAACGCTTCCCATCTGATCAAAAGCCCGCTGGGGCTATTTCGGGCTTTGGGCTTTGGAGAGAATTGTTCCAGATGAGCCCAGGGAGTAATTAGCTCATGCCTGGAAGGTGACACGAGCCTGTCTGAACGTGCCAAGTTGGAAAGCTGAGGCCCAGAGCCCTGCTTTGGAACTGACCCACCTCCCCTCCCTTATTTTTAGCTCTCGGTGTGTAACTCAAATGCTGATGTGACCACCTTTTAGAAAATAGACAAGAGAGAGAAGTTGGCGGGGACGGATATGGCTGATAACTAGCAGTCTCCTCTTCATCCCCGTCCAGGATTTGAACAGAGACATGAATTCCCAACCTTTTGATTCCATTCCTTTTGTTCCAGCGAGTCCCACCACTGTCACCCAGATGAGCTTGTCCAACCCGACCATGCTGAGGACCCACAGCCTCTCCAATGCTGATGGGCAGTATGACCCATACACCGACAGCCGCTTCCGGAATAGCTCCATGTCCCTGGATGAGAAGAGCAGAACCATGAGCCGCTCGGGCTCCTTCCGGGATGGGTTTGAAGAAGGTAAGCAAGGAGACTGGCCGTCTGTCTCCCAGGTTAGGGGGTGTATAGTTAATTCTCCTCTATGGAAGGCAGCTATGCTCACCACTATACCACCAATGCCGACGTAATTCTCCTCTATGTCAAGTTCATTTCGTTGGCCTGAGAGTCCACCTGTGAGTGCTTCCAACTCTCCCACTTACTTGGGGGGGGGGGGAGCTGGAGAACTGAATAGTAGGGTCTGACTCTTAATTGACCTCTCAGGACTCGAGGGAAGATGCTACTAAAAAATCACTGTGAACCTTAGAGCTGACTGAGTTTTGCTCTAGGTTTCTCGTTCTTGGACATGGGCCATAGCTTCTTGGCATGCACCCTCAATCTTGAGGTTCAGCCACTGGCTCCCCATCTTGGAGGAGCGCATTCCTGGAGAGTTTGTTTCCCAGTGCTGATGGCCCCTTATGACAGCGGTTCTCAACCTGTGGGTCGCGACCCCTTTGGCGGTCGAACGACCCTTATGACTTTGGGGGGCTCCGGGCAGCCATGCCTCTCTGCTGCTTCCAAGAATTCTCTGCTTTGTTATTCAGGCATCAGTGGTTCAAGTTCATTGCATTTAGTGATGCCTTTTTCGTTCTTTGCTTGCTAAGTGGGAATATTTTGGATTAGATTTTTATCTTAAAATCATTTAAGTCAGAATTTTAAGATTAAAATACTGTGGGCAACTTTGCCAGCGATTCCTATTTCTTTCCCTTTGTTCCTTCACTCAAGGTGTGAGTTAGGGAAACAGCAGTCAAAATGCTTTGGGGGGACATCACCCACTCCCCCCAATGCTTCCCCAGGGTGAACTGGTCGGACACTGGAGGCAGGACTCACTGACTAATGAATGGTTAAGAGTGTGTAGTAAGGCTACCAGGGTTTGAGTTCCAGTTTCACTATTTATTAGGTGTATGATCTTGGGCAATCACTTCACCTCTCTTTGCCTCTGTTTTTTCACTGATAACGTGGGAGTACTAATAGTACTCAGCCCACAGAATTATGAGATTAATGAGATGATATACACAAATGTTAACCCAATGATGTTATTGCACGTCACAGCCTGTAGACTCGGCTTCCGCACCAGTGTCCTGGCAGCTGGCAGTCCAGCCCCAGCTGAGGGCTGTGTCTCTGGTTGTGCCCTTTTTTGTCTTATCAGTGACAGAATAGAACTTGGGAGGAGAGCCATAGGCACTTCCCTCTGCTCCCAGTTCCATGAGAGTGGGGATGTGTACCCAGCATCCTCTTGGTAGGAAAGCTCAAACAAACCTGTGATTGTTTCAGAAATCCCTAAACAGGTCAAGAGGGAAATGCAAGATGTTGGCTTCTGCTTTGCCTGGGGTACTTTTTTACAAAAATTTTAAAGAGTTTAGTTACAGAGCAGTTGCCCCCTGTTAATCCCTTTAGCAACTTAATTCTCTCCCTCCTCATTTATGTATCCACCCTCATTTATGTATCGGTTGCATCCAGGGACATTCATTGAGCAGGTGCAAGTCTGTAAATCATACATGGGAACCTACTGGAACAGAGAATGGGGGGCTGAGAGGGTTTTGCTGGATTTTAAGAGCTAGAAATGAGTGCTGTAACCACTCAGAGCAGCAAGATATGTTGACCGTAAGGTGTAGAGTAGGCAGTTTGTCTTGAACTCCTGTTATAGTGGGTGTGCTGGCCACACATGGCCACGGAGCATCCCCAGCCCTCCTGATGACGACTTGCAGGTGGAGTGTGTCCTGTGCTGTATTCATCTTCTCTGCCGTGTGTGTACCTGAGTGAACGCGTGTGCAGCACCGAAACTTGTCCAAACAAGCACACTTCGCCTCATAAAGGTCCAGGACCATTACGGCATCCTCATCAGATCGCTTTTATTTATTCCATCTGGAGTCAGACAGCACAACTGTGGAACATCTGCATGGCAAAGTGGCATTGACAACGGGTGCTTGCCCACGAGCAGTGTCTAGACTTTTGTAAATCCCATGATTCATGGTGACGTGGAACTGAATGCAGAGGGGGAAATCAAAGTTGTGAGGAAGAGGTAGAAACTGCTGTTGATGTACTTTAAACACATAGCACTTTCGTCTTTGGGGAAATTTGGCATCAGATTGATTTTATCTCTTCCACAGTTGTTAAAAAACAACAACAAAATAAGACTTGTACAATTAGATGGAGTTTTTTTCTTTATATCTCTTTTTTAGAATTTAATTTGTTGGCATTTAAAATATTAGTTTCAGGTGTACCGCATAGTGGTTAGACATTTATATAACTTACAAAGTGTCCCCCCAATTACAATATTATTGACTATATTCCCCATGTTGTAGATCACATTCTGTTGCCAATTTGTACTAGTACATCTTAACCTCTTTGCCCCCCAACCTCCCTTTCCCCTGGCAACCATCAGTTTGTTCTCTATATCTATGTTTTTTCCTTTGTTTATTCATTTATTTTTATTTTTAGATTTCACCTGAGTGCAATTACGTTTTTAATTCCACTGGGGAGAGACTTTTTTCCCCTCTTTTGAGTTTTTAACAGTGTTGCAGAAACAGTTGGAAAAAATTCACATCTCACTTTAGAACCTCATTATAAGAGTGTCAGTAGGTATATCACACGCCAGAAAGCAGGAAAGAAATTTAGGAAGAATTAGCACCAAGTACTTGTGCAATGATTTTGTGGGATTTACTAACCATCATTCATTTGGAAGGAAGTGGGTATGATAACCCTGTGGATTAGATATAGGCATGGTCCACATACAGCCTTTCAAAGTTATTTCAGGTAAATTCATTTCCATCAGATGCATTGTGCACATATAAAGTCAACTTTAATAGCATACCTTTAGGGAGAGGCGGGAGGCATTTTGAAAATGGATGTCTTTGGAGTGGAAAAAAACAACAGGTCACTTAAGGGCAATGCAAGCAGATCCTGTCCCTGAATGCTGTGTGCCCTTGAGCAGTTGACAGTCTCTCTCAGTTTCAGATTGCACAATGGCAGAGATGACCTGAGATTCCTTGTAACTTTAAAATGTTGGCGGTACAAGTTGAGAGAGGAAATGCATGGCCTGCTTTTGCCTTTTCGGCTTTGTGACTTTCACAGGCCTTTTGTCCCAGAGTATCCAAGCCGCACAATGTGGGCTCCGACTTGTTGGCTCAGTTCACTTAGAGGAGGGCCAGCTGCAGTGGTCCAGGGCAGCCGCATTCAGTTTGTGGTTGACTCTGGAAGGCAAAAGTCTTTCTCTCGACCACAGCTTTGCTGTTGCTTCTGACCAAGTGAGAGGGGTTAATTACAGAGGAAAGTAAGTACCTCCGCCCGAACCCTGCCAGATGCGCTCTTCTCTGCCTGTAACCCCAGCTTCCATGGAGATATGGCTGCAGGCTGTCAGCGAGTCCATGAGGTAGAGAAATATAAGAGGAAAACTTCCATTTTCCAGCAGCCAGAGGCCATTCAGCAGCCCTGTGCAGGCTTCTGGAGCAGGTGTCTGGTGGGGCAGTGTGACTGAAAGGTGTGATTAAAGGGTTATGTTACCTGCATCTCTGCCCCCAGCGTGGCCTCCAGTATAATCTCCCGCTGCTGCTGCTGCTGCTGCTGCTGCTGCTGCTTGTGTCGTGGGGCTGAAGTAGGATACCCTCTGGAACAATTAGGTCCCTAGGTTGGGACATGAGAAACTTCTGTTAATGTGTGGAAGTATTAACGCTGAAAGCCATTATTGGCCGTTAACACCTTAACTGATTTTTTATGGGGTATGAGTCAGATGAGTCCTGGATGGAGGGAGAATGGAGGCAAAGATCTAGAACTCTAAGGAAGGTGGCTGTGAGTGGTGGTGCAGGGGCAACCTCAGTGTGAAGGCACCTGCTAAGAGAGAAGGGGGCAGGTAGGGCAAGCCCAGAGCATTGTGGGTTCAGAAGGAGAGGGCCCATCCAGGTGGCAGTCAGAGCAATAAGGAAAGTCTTCAAGGAGAAGGGGTTTGCGCTGATCCTGAAGGTTTGGACAGATAGAAATGAGGTACATCCTGAACAAAGGGAAGGTATGGGCAGAGCCTCTGAGGAGGCCAAGCACTCTCCCGGGCATGCTGAGAGCCACGTGCAGGACTCAGTGTCCGAACCACTTGGAGGAGGCACCTGAGTGCACACTGAGCTGTTCCTCAGGTATCTTGTGGGCAGGTAGCTTCTGCACCTGCTGATTCAAGTTGAGTTCAATCCTTGGGTGGTACGTGAAAGTCGCTGAGCACACGTGGAAAGTTACTCCCGAGCCTCCCACTCTCAGACCGAAGGCGATGGCGCTGTGTGGCAGAGGCATTCCACCGTGGCCAGGAAAGCTTCGCCCAATGAAAAGGTCCGAGATGTCGCCACATGCCTAGTTCTCTCTTTCAAACAAGTTGTGGAGAGAGTACCAAGAAAATGTCATTAAAGAATCTGGTTTCCCACCAGAGAAGTCAGCCAGAATGCCTTGTCCTAGACAAGACCAGGCTTTAAAATGTCATGAAAGCGGCTACTAGGATGTCTCCCCTTGGCTGAGGGCAGGCAGGGTGCTAAGAGGGTATGAGGATGGTCCTACGTCAAAAAGTGCCAGTCAGAAACGGAAAAGACGACACCACTTGCTTGTCCCTGGGTAGACAGACATGATAGAAACCGAGCACAGAATCTATATTTCACTTGGTTGTGTTTTCTAGACATATGTTTGTAAGCAAGTATTCTTCTAGAATGGTTTCACTATGGCCATAATCAGCTCCTCTTCTGCAAATACAAGTGGCAGGTGCTAGCAGGGTATAAACTACACAAGCACCACAATCTCAACCCTAAATGAATACATGAGAAAAAGAAAGGAATCATAACAGGTTGCCCCTGGCTAATAGAATTATGAACCATGCTGGTTACTCTAGTGGATTTATTTTTTAGCACTTCTCTGTCCTTGAAAATTTTCATTAAGTAATCATGTATTATTTTGATAGTCAGGGGGCAAAAGTATTTAGAAGGTTGTAGAAAAAATGTGGTAACAGAAAGTTGACTGAGTTTCCTAACAAACTATTCTTTATTTGACACTGACCTATAGCCAAACCAGGAAAGGTCGGGTCAAGGTGAGATCAAGTTGCTCTGAGCCTGGTGGTGCCCTATGATGCTCAGTTTCTCCTTCCCTCCTTCCTTTTTTGGTTTCATAGCAGCCAGCTATGTAATTCACCTTTTCTTTCCTTTTTTTTTTAAAATAGTTCATGGATCCTCACTCTCTTTGGTTTCCAGCACATCGTCCATTTATTCAACAGTGAGTATAAATCCATGCTGTGTAGCTATGATCATATGAGCTGGGGTTCCTTTATCAAATATGTCAAGGATAAAATATCAGCATTTTTCCTGGAGAGAGTATTTCCATTATAAGGGAACCAATTAATTAGGGAACAAGATTGGAAACTCACAAACAGCTATTGACTATAACGTACCAATCAATAAATCAGGAATCAGCTGCTTTGTTAGTGGCACTGTGCTGTGCGTGGTGACGAGTTAGAACGTGTGAGAAGCCTTGGCCACCTGCTGGTAGAATTTGAAAAGGCCTTGAACAGGGTATTAATCTACCTGCCTCAGTTTCTTTATCTGTAAAATAGAAAGAACTGTCCCTACTTTCTAGAGTTGTAATGAGGATTAACTGTTCTGAAGATTATATTTTGCTACAATATAAATTCCTTGAGGACAAGAAATTTTTCTGTTTTTATTCCTGGTGCCCAATAGGTGTTCAAAAAATAGGCTTCCATAAAATAAGAAAATGCATGTAAAGCAATAAATACAATGCACACAGCACAGAGTAAGCACTCATACATGTTCACCATCAATGAGAGTGTTAGTGACCGAAGCCAAATGTAATCAAATATGGTGCTAGATTGGTTCTGTTCTGTGGTGCTTACTTTTTATAGCCATGCACATAAATATTTGGGAATTCCTATAGGGAAACAATATTTTCTTAATTGAGAATTGACAATTCTTTTTTTTTTTTAATATATTTTATTGATTTTTTACAGATAGGAAGGGAGAGAGATAGAGAGTTAGAAACATCGATGAGAGAGAAACATCGATCAGCTGCCTCCTGCATATCTCCTACTGGGGATGTGCCCACAACCCAGGTACATGCCCTTGACCGGAATCGAACCTGGGACCTTTCAGTCCGCAGGCCGACGCTCTATCCACTGAGCCAAACCGGTTTCGGCAGAATTGACAATTCTTTAGCCCTTAATTCTATGGAGGACAAATGTGCTGGCTTTTGTTTGTTTGTTTGTTTGCTTAATAATTCTATGTTTGGTAATGCTAGATTTCTGGACTACAGAGCAAGACAAACTATATATAGCCCCTTGTAAGTAAAAGGCCATCTCAGAATCAAATTAAAGAGACCACGGCCTGACTGTTCTTTCTTAGGCCTATGGCAAGCAAAGACTTCTGTGGTTGTTGACATGGTTTGATTCGAAGGAACTAGAGATACTCTCTTCTGCTCCTACCCACCTCACCCCTCCAACTCCAAAGTACCTCTTTCTTCAGCTGATTGTCTTGTCTGAAGTGTCACCACAGAGTCCTGGCTTTCAATTGAAAGGCTTTCTATATAGTAACGTTGGGAAGGGTTGTTTAAGCCATCATCTACTAGGAAAGCCTAGGGATGGCCTTCCAACTGCCAGGCAGTGCAAACACTAAGTCTTTGTTCTACTATGAAACTCTTGGGTCCAATCCCAGCTCTACCACTTACCAGCTGTGACCATGGGTAGATTATTTAACCTCTTTGTGCCTAATTTTCCTCATCTGCCAAACAGGAGGTGATAGTATTATTACCTACTCCAAGGGTTGCTATGAGGGTTAAATGAATATTGAATATAAAGTGCTTGGAACAGTTGCTGACATGTGGCACTAATGAGTAAAGCTAGTTATTAGTACCAGAATGTAAGTAACATGAGGTAGGGGACTTGGTCATGTTCACTCACAGCTGTTACCTAGGTTCTTAAACAGTGCCTGGTACATATAGGAAATCAAGAGGGAATACAAACTAACCTACTTTATGGAGTTACTGTGAGGATTAGACAGTTTGGTGCCTAAAAATTAGTTGCTGTTGTAGGAGCCAGCCGGGAGGGCGGGGGCTCTTGGGCAGGGTCAAGGGCGAGGGCAGTGGGGAGCAGGGAGTGAAGGGAGACCGACAGGAACCTGCCCCAGCTGATGGGTGTGGGGTCTTTGTGGTCTAATGAATCCTCCCCATTTGTATTCTGAATAGAGAAGTAGGCACCAGAGTCAGATGCTGGTTTTTTTTTTAAATAATGGGTTTATCACTAATAAATTTGGATTAGGACATACAGGGAGGACCCAAGGACAAAATAGGATCCTTAGTTGATTTTCACTCGCCTGCCTGGCTTCCAAGTCCCTGCTTCCCCCTGGAGACGTGTGAGTGGGGGTGGTGAGAAGGGCAGGAAGGGGTAAGGGAGCTTCTTTTGTGAGCCCCTTGGGAACCCAGGGGGAGGGAAAGAAAGGTTCCCCCTGCAGCGGGGTCCCCCGGCGGGAGGAGGGAGGTCGTTTTGTTCTCCCACTGGCACAGCCGTGTCACCTCAGACACGGGGCCCAGCATGGAAGGTTCTGCCAGTAAGAGGACCCACAGGCTTCACCTTTACTCCTCAGGGTCATAGGTAACTGGGGAACTCGAGGTGGGGCCGCAGGAACGTGAAGGTCACATTTATCCTTATAATCTGGGATGTCCTCAGGCTGGCTTACAGGGGCTCCTGGCCTCCCTTAACTCTAGGTGTCTTCCTGTCTGCAGTGTCCTGGGGAGATGAGAGGGAGGATGAACTGGGGCAGAGTTAAGTTACGTGCAGGCCTCCCTACTCCCAGGTGGGGTTTGCCAGGTAAAATACAGAGCACCCAGTTAAATTTGAAATTCAGGTGAACAACAAACAATTTTTTAGTATAAGTATGTACCAATATTACATGAGGCATACTTAAACTAAAAATAAAAATAATAATAGTAATAGAATTTAACTGGTTGTCCGATATTTTATTTGCTAAATCTGGCAAACCCTGCCCTGGCTCATCCCCTTCTCACCATACCCTGTCCTGAGCCCCCGACCCTGTCACTGTCTCCACATGGGGACAGGGGCTCCTCACAACAATGGGGGTGTTCTAATTCTTCCTAATTTCTTAAAATAATATGCCGTTTGTTTTTGGCCTTTTCAGATAGTCAAATTAATCGAACCAGTCTAGCCACAAAAATACCCCAGGAAAGAAACGAATAAATCTTCCAGACTGCTGGGCGCATCCAAATGCGGTCCCCGCAGGCTGGACTGCGCAGCTCTTTGTTCCTCCGATTAGATTTGATCCTCTAATCTCCCTGTGTTTTCTTTACAGCCAGAAGAAAAATGCCAGTCAGAGGTAAGGAACAGTTTGCTGGTTGGATTCCCACTTTCACTGCCATCAGTTATCTTACCCAGCTCAACCTGGAAATGGACTCCCAAAGCAAGTAACCCTGTCCCTTGTCACCTTTAGATTCGCAAACTGCGGCGGGAGCTGGATGCCTCCCAGGAAAAGGTTTCAGCTTTGACCACCCAGCTGACAGCAAATGTGAGTATAGACACAGGGCAGCAGCCATCGGGAGGGGAGGTGGCCCCTGCCCCCTTCTGAGCATTACCTCAAGGCCTCCTGCCCCGGAGCACCATGGAACCAGTGTGGTGTAATAAATAGGACGCAGGCTTTAGCATCATGGGTGTGAATGTCGGCGCTGACACTTGCAGGCTCTGTGCTTTGGGAAAATTCTTTACCCTCTGAGCTTGTATTTGCTGTTCTGAATGATGGGTGATGATAATACCTCTCAGGGTTGTCATGTGACCAGTACCTGGGATATATTAAAGTGGTCAGAAATGTTCATTTTTCTTCCCTTCCTCTTTCTGAAAATTCTCACCTAAGGAAAAAAAGGTGGAGGGATCTAAGGCTCCCAAGTAAATAGCTGACTGCTCTGTAATTATAATATACACAATTACGTGTTCAGGGGGCACTGCCAACCGGCATTCAATTCAGCAATTGTTTAAGTGCCAACTATGCCCCAGGCACTGTGGGTTCAACAGCAAAGCAAGCAAGTCACTGTCATCTCAGTGTTCTTTGTCTGGTACAGCAGAAAGACAAAACAATTTTGCTATGACATGATAAGTGTTATGATTGAGATAAAGAGAAAAGGTTGTGGGAATATGTGGGAGAAGCACCTAACGCATTCTCTGTGGGGTAGGAGGAGATCCAGGAAGGCTTCCTGGAGGAGGTGACATCTGATGGATACTGTATAGGGGAGTGTGCATGGGGAGGACAGCATACTAACCATTATGCTGAAAGAATAATTTGTGCAAAAGCCCAAGGTGAAAGATCTTGGTGCATTTGGAGATTATATAAGTTGTTTTGTGTAATTACAATCTATGGCTTGGATAGGGGGAAGAAGCAGGTAGAGGGGAGGAAAAGGAGGGAAGGAAGGAGGCATCAATGAAAGGCAATGGTCAGGGCACATCACAAAGGCTCTCAGCTGTTAGTGGAGCCTTCTCAGTGAGTTCTAAGCAGAGCTGTGAGGTGGTCAGGTTTGCTTCTAGAAAACTTCCCTGTATGGGGTTATAGAATTATGGGAGTTAGAGAAGACACAGAGATCTCCTACCCCATCAGACCAGTCTGTACAGGATTCCTGCTGCAGGGCTGAAGCTCAGAAGGTAGAGCCTGAGGTTTGGAAGGTACTGCGATGCCGCTGGGGCCAGGCTTCCTACCCAGGAATGCACAGCCCAGCCTGAGACCACAAATACATGTGTACGCGCCGGTCAGAAAGCAACCTGCATGACTCCATGGCCTGCCGTTAAGTAAAAAGTAGTTTCAGAAGGTTGTCTTCCTTGGACCAAGAAGCTGAGTCAGTACCCGGAATTAATATTTAGCCCAGGTAATTCCTGGCTCAAGCCTGAGGCTGCTCAAGGAAACTATTTCTCTTTAAAGTCTGCACGTGGTGCCTCACACAGTGCTGGGCCTTGATTACAAGCTCAGTATTTGGTGATTGTGGTCACTCATGCTCTTTTTTTTTTTTAGCTCTCTTACATTTCTAGAAATCTTCAATTTTCTTTCAAAACCCTAACGTACTAGGCCGTTGTGTGTTTTGTAATCCTTCTTTATCTTTTTTACATCATCCACCATGAGTAATGCTTTCAAAAGAACTTCGGAAATTGATGTGAGATCTGGGTTTTGAGGCTGAGATCAGAAAAACAGCCGAGGTCTTTTTCTGAGGGTGGACTCTTTATGTGGGTCACCATTTGAATCCAGAACCGACCTCCGACCCAGTAAGCCAGGATCTCCTGGTATAATCCAAATATGTGAGATTTAACAGCAGCCCTCCTCCTAAGTTCAGAACTACTCCCTTAGGTAAGAATTACAGCTGTCAATTATTGACCCTTACTCATCAAAAAATAGTAATCCTATATAATAAAAGGGTAATATGCAAATTGTCCCCTCAACTGGGAGTTCGACCAGGGACAGGGCCGGCCCACCAACCACCCAGGGCCCCTCCCCCTGGCCGGCCCCACCCCCGATCCCCACCCCTACCCTGATCGGGGGTGGGGCTGGCCGGACCCCACCCGTGCACGAATTCGTGCACCAGGCCTCTAGTTTACTTATAATGAACTTTGGTTCACTCTTCCAATGACCTCATGCTGCACAGGACCTTGCTTTGGGCCACTGGGACCCTGTTCTCTGTTTCAGAGGAGTCAGCGTGAGAGCCCTGACATTACTATTATTCTAAAAGTGTGTGTTGCTCCTCGCAAGGCCAGTGAATCCAGTATTGTTTTAAAGTAAATATTTAGCCTTACCACACACCACCAGGGTGTTTTATTGTCTGCCATCTCTCCCACAGGCCAAGCTGTGTTTGTTTTTCTAGGACAAACTACTCAGAGCCACCTTCTCGGGTGTTTTTATACCACTTGTGTTTGTTTTCCCGGGAATGTGAGACGGTGCTGGATGAGAAGGCCGTTGTGGCTCTGAACCAGGCTCGCAACAGCCTCAGACCGTATTTTCATAGTTGCGTTCATGACACAAAGTCGGTCCTTCCATTACCCAGCAAAACAAGTCCTGTTTCCTCAGAGCAAATGCAGTTTCTTCCTGAGCTTTGCAGAAACACTTTCTCACTGGCAGTCTTCATGGGGTCAGGTTTTGGTTTTTGTTGGATAGAAGATATAAATGCCCATGAATAGAATCATGGGTGGCAAATAAACAGTTTTGAAATAAATGGAAATCCAGGCATTTAAATGTGACCTTGCCATTCTTTTGCAATGCATGGATAGCACTCATTTTCTTTTTACTAGTACATCCATGTCCTGGCCCGCTTCCTTCATCCACTATGTGACTGTCTTAAATTGGCTTTGGTTTTGCCACATTCTCCAGGGCAAACTAAAGTAGATCTCTTTATTTTAAAATGCAAAGGCATTTTCTTGGTTTTTAAGAGAAAGAGCATGTAATCAGAAAGAAACTGGCTAGTCCACTTAGCATTTTTATTACCAGTAGCCCTGCTCCCTGCCAGACCCTATGGCTGTTGGAAAAAAGACTCAGCGGTGATCTTAGAGACAATCTTATCTTCCACCATGGTTTTCGCTTGATGAGGTCTGGTGATAGAGGCCTCTGACTCACTCCTCAAATCTCTCCTCCTTAAATTCCAGTGTCCACGGGCCCTCCTCCCAGCCCAGGGCAATGACTCCTCCCCCACAAGGTTGTATCCAGCTCTTACTCTTCACTGTGTGCATCACCCATCTTTTCTTCTAGAATTTTCCCACATGATCAAGTCTTAACTTCTCCCAAGACTCTCAAGTATCCTCCTCATTCCTCTTGTAACGCTCAGTGTGTCCACCCACCCCTCTCCGAGGACCCTTTCTTGATCTCCCTATTCCTATGTTCTTATAGCATTTTTTGTCATTTTCTCATTCCCAGGCCTCTTCCTTTCTCGCTCCCCAGTATCCATTCATTCCTGTGTTTCACACTTCCTTAATAGTTTATAGACCATTTCCATTTACATTGTTTCATTTAATGCTCATAATAACACTGGGCAGAAAATATAGCTCCCATTTTATGGATGAATAAACTGAGGCCAATAGAATTACATGCCTTGTCCATTCTTTATTCTTGGTTTTAACAATGTTATCAGGATCCTCAGTCAATCAATCAATATATCACCTGCTGCTCTGTGGAAAAAGGAAGAAGGTTTGGTGTTGGAACACAAAGTCGCATCTTCCCCTTGAAGAGGGTTGCAGAGAAGGGGGAAGATAGGAAAACATCACATTTCTCAATTCTAACATACACTTTTTTTTTTTAACATTTTAACATCTTTGAAAATTGGATGCATATTTTAATTATAATTGGTAGCATTTTTAAGAATGTCTTAGTAATATAGAAAATAATGATGCAACCGATGCCATTATATTCCTCTAACTGAGGTATATTAGAGTGCAGGGGAGCGCAGGAGAAGGGCATAATTCCCTGGGGATCAGGGGAAGGGCTCTCTAACTAAGGAGGTAGCAGATGGGCCTTTCAGTGGCTTTTTATTAACCAGGATTATAACAGGCAAAATATGCCAACCACTTTGTCCATTCATCCTACAAACACGCTCAGTGTGAGCCTCTGCGGTGAGCTTGGTGTTTGATGAACAGAAGGTTGTCCTGCTGTGTAGTGGAGACATGAAGCAGCAGTCACAAGAGCATGTGTATTTTTGACTGTGATACAACAGTCCATTGTGCTTTTGAGGTGGAGTCTGAGGAAACCAACCCCATCGGGGGTTTCATGACAGCGTGAGCTGAGATCTCTTGAGAAGGATATGCAAAACTTAGTTAGCCGGGGAGGCAGCTGGGGGTAGAGCATCCCAGGCAGAGGGCAAAGCATGGATAAAGGCCCTGAGGTGGGAAGAACCATGAGGCGTTTGAGACACAAAAGCTAGAATAACTGTATCCCAAAGGGTACTGGGCAGTGGGGCTCTATAGGCTGAAGAATTGGGCAGGGGATAACGCATGTGGCCCTCTGAGGGTTTCAGTCTGTAAGGCTGGCACTGTTTAGGCATGCTCACCTTATAAGGTAATGTAACAGGGCTGTGTCTCTCCCTCCAGGCTCACCTCGTAGCAGCCTTTGAACAGAGTCTTGGAAACATGACAATCAGGCTCCAGAGTTTGACCATGACGGCTGAGCAGAAGGTAAAGCAGAAAGGATGCTTTTTCCCCTCCCTCCTTGGAGTGAACAACACACCTAAAAATAGTATTCTCTTTCATTCCGGATAATTGTATAGATTTTAGTGTACTTCTTGAATTGTTAAAGAGTAGGCATGTTGAGTGAAAATACGACCTAGATGGAGAAGTGGTACATGTATCAGGGACAGATTGTCATGGTCCTATTCCTGCTGGTTTCATGGCTCAGATACCTATGCTGAAAACTAGCCCAACCTCCTGTTTGAGACAAAGGTTTTTTTAGAACTCCTGTATTCCCTATCACCCTCTGTTGAAACTTGTACTTCAGTTGAACTCTATACAGTGAATGATTTTTTAATATATTTTTTATTGATTTTAGAGAGAAGGGAGGGAAGAAAGAGATAGAAACATCAATGAAGAGAGAGAATTATCAATTGGCTGCCTCCTTCATAACCCACACCGGGGATCGAGCCCACAACCCAGGCATGTGCCCTTGACCGGAATCAAACCCAGGACCCTTCAGTCTGCAGGCCGATGTTCTATCCACTGAGCCAAACCAGCTAGGGCTACAGAGAATAATTTTAGAACAACCAGTATTTTTTTCTCTACTCCTCAGGATTCAGAACTGAATGAGTTAAGAAAAACCATTGAGTTGCTAAAGAAACAGAATGCAGCTGCCCAGGCTGCCATTAATGGAGTAATTAACACTCCGGAGCTCAACTGCAAAGGTAGGAACAGAAACACTGCCTGCCTGCCCCTAGGAGCCCTCCCCTGACAGTGAGTGATGCAGCTCCCTACCCGAGGCTGGGTGTCCTGTCCGTGGACAGGGCCTGGGAGGCAGATACTTCATCAGGTGACTTTTGCCCTCTGGGGAGGTAGCTGTTCCATCTCGTCCTCTTCTCTGATGTATCTCAAAAATGGGAGAAAATGTATTTCTGTTGGCAAAGTGTCACAATATTTCATAGCCCTTATCTTCACGAATGCTTTGATGTTTCCATACTGATGTAGGACAACCTGAAATGAGTTCATCTCATGTTTGTCCAGTAAAATATTTCTGAGTGAATTGCTTTGTCTGTGTGTCTCCTAGTTGGAGGGCAATGTGGACGTGAGGATGAGTTCCCTCCTGCAGTAATGGCATTAACAGTAATAGGAGAAGTCATAGTGATAGCGAACATTTATGAACCACTCACTGTGTTCTGAGCGTTGTGCTCAGTGCTTCAGTTATGTAATGAATGATCTCATTTTTTTTTCCACAACCCTTACAAGTGCTACCCTGGTCCTCTCCGTATGGTGCTGATGGGAACATTGTTTCAGAGGCGAGAGGTGATCCTGGAGTAGTTAGAAGCAGAAGTGGGACTAGACCCGTCTGTCTGACTCTGAAACGATGCTCTTAAAAACCAGGCTGCAGGTGTAGTTCTGTGCTCATGAGGAAAACTGTCTACAGACTTTATTTTGGAATCACTGACACTTCAGGCAATGGTATTCCTGGTACCACTGGTGTTTCAGACATCAGCCTTCCTGAGAACTTGATGATAGAGTTGATATGGGAAGGTTAGGAGGAGCTGGCCAGGCATAGTGGAGGGAAAAGAGCATTCCAGGAAGAGGGAATAGCGTATGGAAGGTTCCTGAGAGGAAAGGAGGCTAGTGCAGTGAGCAGAGGAGCACTAAAAACATAGGTGACTACCGCTGCATTTCACAAACTCATTTCCGTGCCTGTCTAAAGCTTAATAGAGCTGGTGTTGGGGGGATTCTCTCTGAGCCTCCCCATATTTATGTAAAGTGGAGAGAGAGTATGCTCCTGTTCAATTGACCAAATGGTATAGCACCTACCTGCTCAAGGGCCTTAATACTATCCATGAGGAAAAGAAGGTGATGTCTAACAGGAATCACCTAGTGGTCCTCAGGTGTGTGGATTTCGGTGTGAGGTTATTCCCTGGGACAAAGGAATGGGCTCGAGGCAGCAGCTGCTGATATCCCACCTTGGGTCTGCAGGAAATGGTACCTCCCAGTCTGCAGACCTCCGCATCCGCAGGCAGCACTCCTCCGACAGCGTGTCCAGCATCAATAGCGCCACCAGCCACTCCAGCGTGGGCAGCAACATAGAAAGCGATTCAAAGAAAAAGAAGAGAAAGAATTGGGTGAGTGTACATCCAAAGACTCTCATGCACTGACTATCAGTGCCAGTCTCAGAACCCAGGCTTGCTCTTAACTTCAGAACAAAGACCTTTGGGAGTAGATCCAAAGGAGTGGTTTGTGGATAGGTTTCTACTGAAATCAATGTTGTGCTCAGCCAAACACTAGGATTTACGAAATCACCACCACCTTGTAGTCTTTCTGTGTTCATGAGACTTTATGTGAAGTACTCACCTCTCATTTCATATGTGTCATTTCTTCCTCATCACGTGTTGGCCAGAAACCTGCAGGTACTAGCGCAAATTTACTCTTAAGTGGTTTCTTAGTTCCAAAGTATTTTTTGGAGTGTTATCCCTAATTATCCATTGTTAATCATAATCCTTATCTATTTATTTACAATATTGCCCATGGTAGCCTTAAACCATCCTTCTCTTTGAGAAATTTTGACGATGGCCTGTAAGTGAAAGTTGCATAATGGTGATGTTAGCAGTAAGTGAACGGTTCTGATCTTGGGGTTTATACCTCAAAATGTCAAGTATAATAGAAGAGTCCCCATGCAGTGATTCTCCGTGTTTCCACGATCCCAATGAGCTCCTTGACTGTCTGTACAGAGGCATCTTGAACAGTTTCTCCCATTCTCCTGGGGAAGTCCCACTCCTCTCTCCCGACTAAGTCTTTAGTTCTGCTGTTGAGGCAGCAGAGTTCTGATGGACACTCGCTGCTCCCTGTCTTCAGCCCAAGTTGACCTGACGTTGGCCAGTCCTCAGAGGGCCCCATCTGTCCATGCTGACAGCATCGTGTTTTCACAGTAGCTTTGGTGTCCTCATTCACTCCATACACTTCTCACTCATTTTGTGTCATCTTGGATGGTTGGCGAGGTCTAGGAATAGAGTAGTTAAAGATTTAATCACTTTGGTTACTGATGACTTGTGCTGCAGCTAAAAGGCTGGTTTCGTGTGACCCTCTCATCATTCTGATGGAATTTTTTTTTTAAGTTACTAATGGCTTTTAGTCAACTCATTTGCTAGAGCTAAACAAATAGAAGTAATTCATGTTGCTGTTTCCAATATGCTGTTGAGAAATATGGTCTGATTTGATTATCAAAGTGGTGAGAGAGGATTCTTTTCTATGAAAAATCATGACTACTCATTTTCTTCAGTTTAAGAAATAAAACTTATTTATTTTGCTTTAAAAGTTATTACTCTTGGTTATCATTGCAATTGAGGAGGATGGATAATTTGCATCCTCAGATAATCCCCAAGCTTAACTCTGTCTAAATTTTGTAATCTCTTCCACCTGGCATTTCACCAGAGGTAGAGGCAAAGGTTTAGGTTGATGGCTTATGTGCCAAATCCTTCTGCTTCCATAACTACTCTCTGGAAATATGACCAGAAGTAAGAATAAGAGGGGAATGGGATGTCAATTCGCCCCCAAGCTGGACATATAGTTTGTTATAGATGAAACATTAATGGAAGAAAAATTCCGTTAATTGTTTCAGAATGGCCCATTTCTGAATTTCTCAATGGCCAAGAAAGCCCCCAGACTATGTTTTCAGGAGGAAAGGGGACTTTCTGAAAAGGAGATTACCTTTTAAAAGATCTTATTTTGGGGCCTTGAAAATTACATGCTTACCATGGCTCTCAGAGAAAACATTGCACTTTAATTCCTTATGTTCCCATTAGAATTCTCAGATCCATATCATGGTTTGGAGAATTTGTGATATACCAGCTTCTTTTTTCCAATATGGTTAATAAATTTCTTTAAAATATCCATTTTTAGTAACACAGTGGGATGTCTAATTCCCTGCTTATTATGTTATCTCATGTATATATAAGGACAGCAGGAGCTCCTAAATACATATATCAGAGAGATATACAGCCATGTTGGGACCAGTGCAGTAGTACAACTACCCTTTGTTGCTGAGGGAAAAGAAAAGACATGCCCCCCAGAAAAATTAAGGCGTTAGAGAGATGACTGATGAGAGACAAAACGATGATCAGCACAAGAAGGTGGGGGCAGTCATTTCAACCAGACAGAGAAGCTGGAAGAACTCGGATTGTAGGGACTTCCAGACTCGCTATCCTTTTCCTTGCGTAATGGAGGAAGGTGCCCCTTATGCTTTGAAAGATTTGTGATCTTACTGGAAACCTCCTCTGTGTGTGGTGTTTATAATTAGCCATGTCGTGTCTGAAAAGTCCAAAGCTTTCCCTGTCACTGGCTTTCTCTGTTAAAAATTGTCTTTTTTCCTTCCCCTTCCCCATTTTTTGCTTGCATTTTCTCTGGCAGGTCAATGAGGTAAGCAAGACTGTTAATATCAGATACCAAGCTAACCCATCCATTGATATGACTAACCTCATCCGCATCCGTCACCATGTCTGAGCATCCTGCTTCGTTGCCGTGTAACCTCATCCTCCCGACATCACCTGCTGAGCCAGGCTCTGTCTTGCTGTTGGCATCTAGTCTTGACCTGAGAGTAGGCATGGAATGTTACCCACAGGGCCAGTCCTTCGAGCTGTCCACACCAGATAACTCTTCTTCCCCTAATGCACTGATTGGAGAGAGCTGTTGGGAACCTTTTTCACAGTGGGAGGAAAACGTGGGAGAACTAATTGCTCTTTGGTCTGCATGTCCCCGTTTTGCATAGGCCTGAGTGTTGGCCGCGGCCCCTGCCAGGCTGACGGTCTTGTCTATTCAGTTACGCAGCTCCTTCAAGCAAGCGTTCGGGAAGAAGAAGTCCCCCAAGTCGGCGTCCTCTCATTCAGACATCGAGGAGATGACGGACTCTTCTTTGCCTTCCTCACCAAAGTTACCGCACAACGGCTCCTCGGGTTCCACGCCACTGCTCAGGACCTCCCACTCCAACTCCCTGTAAGTCTGTCCGTCGGAGTCAGATGATGTCTTTGGCCCTTAGGAACCTTCTCAAATAGGAGTGACTGGGAGACTTGCTGTGATACCTCTGCTCCTTGGGATCCTTGATGTCTTGCCTTCATAGGACTATGCATGTCCCTTCAGTGATTTAAAACTGGAGAGGCTGAAAGAGAAAAGAAACAGGTTTTTGTTCTGGTGGCCACATCACTGTGGATAATTAGTAGGTTGGCCTTGGGTGAGTTGTTTAATATCACTTTGTTTCCATTTCTTTATCAAATTGGGGTAATAGTTGTCTACTCACTCTAAGGATTGAACAAGATAAATGGATACACGCTGTGATGAGGAGATGGTGTTATAAGCATTGGCAGTGTTAGCTGAAGTTCTGGTTCTTTAGGGTGACAAGGCTTAGCGTGATTACCCTTTTCTTCTTTGATCATAATTTGTTGTTGACTCTCAGAGATCACTCAGAAATTGGAAGTTTAAAAAAATGGAGAGGTTCAGTGGCAGTTCTCTTTACCAAAGGGTCTATATTTTGTAAAATGACTCATCACCCTGAACTCCCCTCGTAAGTTTAAAATGAGTGCATTTGTTCAGAGCTCTTTGGGAAAATAGCTGGTTCTCTTAAGTGAGACACGTGTTTGCTCGCTCGGCCTTAGTTTAGGCCAATGATGGCGAACCTATGACACGCGTGTCAGAGGTGACACGAGAACTCATTTTTTTGGTTGATTTTTCTTTGTTAAGTGGCATTTAAATATATAAAATATATATCAAAAATGTAAGTCTTTGTTTTACTATGGTTGCAAATATCAAAAAATTTCTATATGTGACACGGCACCAGAGTTAAGTTAGGGTTTTTCAAAATGCTGACACGCCGAGCTCAAAAGGTTCTCCATCACTGGTTTAGGCACTGTTCCACTTGGTGACTGGTTACATAGAAGGGACCAGTCATCTGCTCTCGCCCAGCCAGCCTCCCATGATTTCCACTGAGCACTCACTGGTCATAGTCCATCTAAAAACATCCTGTGCCCCATCTAAAAACATAGGCCCAGATGCTAAGGGCAAGAACAGGTCAGGAATGGCATGGGACAGAGGCAGGTGGGAGACCCAGGTATCCCCTTAGAAGGTGGCCCAGCTGGCTTCCTGCAGCAGTGAGAAAGATGCCCCTGCCCCTTGGGGCTGACTTTTGTTAGAGACCCGGTCAGGAGAGAAAGAATTGAATGAAGCTCAGGTCGTCTGCAAGGACAGTTGTCCACAAGATGAGACAGTGCCTCAAATGGCCACTGAGCTGGAGTGAGACACCTTAGTTTCTTCATTGGTGAAAACGGGATTTGTTACATCTACCTCACTGGATTCTTGTGGGGGCCAAGTCAGACACAAGGAGCCTATGGTGGAAACAGGCCTGGGGGTCTGAAAAACAGGGGGATGGCGAGCGTGGCTGCCACATGATGGGCAGGGAACCAAGGCCACAGAGGTAGGTGGGGCCTCTTGCATGTGAGGCTTTGAAGTTTGCATCTGATTTCATATGATGGGTAGATGTTGGAGAGTTTTAAGCAAGAATGTGAGATCTGAAATAGTGTTTTGCAAAGATCAGTCTCTGCTTTGTGAATAAGGAATATATAGGGGCAAGAGTGGAGGAAGGGAGATCACATACGAGGCTGAGAGTGCACTCCCCCTCGTCCACTTCCTCTCCTGTGAACTCTCCAGTCACCTTCCCCACCGCTAGCCTGTGCCCTTGCTGTGCCCTCTGCTGGTGCACTTTTCCCCAAGAGACTCCTTTCCTACAGGTGTCTGCTCAGTGTTATCATAAGGCCTTGCCTATGCACCTTGTAAAAAACAACACCCCCGCCACCATCCCCTCTCCCCGCTCCCATTTCACTTATTACCATTGCAAATATCACCAACCTGTTATGTACATTCTTCTTGGTTATCTTGCTTTGTCCCCCACCATCCCTCCACCACCACCCAAAAATCTACGGGCTAAGCTCCATGGTTGGTTTTGCAGACATTCAAATATTAGGTGGAATGAATGCGTGACTGATGCTGGTGGGAGTCCTGGGTGGATTGAGGATATATTCTGGAAGAGGAGTTGGAAGCACATGGAGATGTTTGAGATGCCCAGGAGACAGTCACCTGGAGATGTCAACCAGCCGAGAGTTCGCGGAGGTATAGACTCGGGAGATGTAGGCTCATCGCTGGTGTTGAAAGCTGGGAAACTGGAGGGATTCTCCAAGGGGTTGAATGGAGATGGAGAAGAGCAGGACAAGGGCTGAGCTCTGGGTCCCTGACATTTGAAGAAGAGAAAGTAGAGCAGCCAGTGAGGTGGGAGGAAACCCAGGAGCAGAGAGAAGAAGCTGTTTGGAAGCAGGAGCACTAACTGGGTCCGGTGCTGCTGGGCGGCCAATAAGATGAAGGAGAGTGGCGGTGTTGCCCTCGGCCATGCAGGGCCCCCAGACCATCTGGAGAACTCGCGCTCCAAACCACTTTCCCACAGGGATTGGGCGGGGCAGACTCAGCTCTCCAGCGCTTTCGGACACCCCACAGCATCCATGCACAAGGAGAGGTTTGTTTGTTTTGTTTACTTTTCCAAAGGCAGAGAGCAAATGCTTTCTCCAACCTTGAAGGGTTTGTAAGAATGTGCAAATCTAGACATGAGAGGGGGTTCAAAGAAGAAACCAAACGCGGAGGAGTCGGCACTCAGCAAAGGCCCTACCCCGTGGGCGACAGGAATGGCGCTGTGGGAAGGCAGTTTCCCACACTCGAGGCGTTTAAAATTAGGCATGCCAACAGCCTGCCTTCCGGACAAGACAGCGGGAATGTGCTGGAACAATGTGTGGAAAAGATATACATCTGGTTGCTTCAGGAAGTGGTTCCTGAAGTGAACAAACTTGTACTGAGTGCCTGCTGGGTGCAGGGAGTGAACCCACGGCGCTAGTGTGAGAAGGAACCGAGGCGGCAGGGCTCCGCCTCGAGCAGTAGGGACAGGGGCCACTCTCGGAGCTGCTGCAGACCTTGTTTTCACCATCATCTCTGTGTTGTAGGCCATCGCTCTGTGTGGCCTTGCAGTGTGTGTTTCTGAGAACCGGCCCGTGTGGAGGGAGCATGGGAGGGCCTTGTGCAGACCTTCTTCACTTTGGTTCGCTGCCCTTTGCAGAATCGTTGGCCGAGCTTCGCAGTTACCCAGGCTCTATATTCCACAGAGTTGGGTGGGTGCTGAGAAATGACTGTCTCTTGCTGGGACAGCTTTCTAGGGAAAAGGTACAGACCACGTGGAGGAGACTGGAGCAGAGTGCCTGGCTGTGGGTACAGGCGGACCAGACTGACCCAGCGTGAACCAAGGCCGACTGCTCTCTGCCGTGAATGGGAGCCTTCGAGATCTGTGCATGGTCTGGCTGAGACCAGTGTCGCAGTGGAGTTGAGTTCAGACTTTATACTCCATTTGCATTGAAAACTATAGTTCCCCCTGCAAAACTCCCAAACCAAAAAAAAAAGAAGAAAAAAAAGCATGACTATAGTTAAGTCTTACTTACAAACCCCAGCTATTCACAGCACAGAGCTTAGGTGGGAAGCGATGGTCTGAATTCTAAAGATATTTTGTCTCTCTAGCCCCATTAGTCCCAAATCTGTTGGCCTTGAGTCTCTCGTAGGGAATAATTATAACATTTTCAGGAGTTCTTTGGAGGTTTCAGTAGATTTAGAGGCGGAGAAGTTTCCTTGGCTGCTGACAACGCTTAAAAATGGGAGGTGGTTTTACTCTCTTTGTATCTCTCCAATCAAAATAGTTCAGGGTCAGGCCAAGAAACCAGTAACAAAAAGATTTGGCTGTTCAGGTGTTAATTTTCCTTCTAGCCTTTCTGCCCCCGAAGTACAGTTATATCTCTTTAACGATTATAAATGGTTTTTCTTTGGCAATTAGCATTTCCACACCCTCAACCACTCTTACAGGTCAGGTTTTGCTTGGCCCCAGATCCCATCCCTGTGTTTTATGGACGGGCTGCGGGATTGTTTCTGCAGAGACCACATGTTCCCCATGCCTTTCAGAGATAATCAGCTTCAGCTTTGTAACTGTATGAACTTGGGGTTGTTTGGTTTTGTTGGTTTTTTTTGTTTGTTTTGTTTTGTTTTTCTTCTTCTGTCCAAAAAAGTCAAAGCTTTCTATTCTGGATCGCCCCTCACTCCAAACCCTCTGATCTTTGAAATCAACAGAGCTTGTTTTTAATAGAACCATCTTTTCTAGCATTACAATTCCTCCTGACTTTTATGATCTTCCACTTTGGGATGACTTGCCGGGTATCTGAAGAGCAAACTTAACTAAATCAAATAAGGAGCCCAGCCTAGAAGGACCACCTTTTAAGAAAGAGGGACTCCACAGGGTCCCACCTCCCTTGAAGGGGGTGTAGCTGGGAAAGACAGCCACACTGCTGCATACGTTTCAGTTACAGCTTTGACTTCCATGTCACATGGTCCTCTCTGCTCTCTAACCACCTGAGATGCTGCTCTTCCTTGCCAGGAGCTTGTTAAGCAGCACTGGGGGCAGGGGAATGAAAGAACGTTGCTCTCTAGACACATAGGGGGGTGGGTTTTAGTGGCTAAAAACATCCACTGGTATCTTTCGGTTTCTTCCTTTTTATGGCAAATAAAAATCACCCCTCAGCTGCCTGACCCTGGAGTATCTAATCTTTAAAACAGACAGTTGACCTCGTTTCTCTGAGTGGGTTTAGATCTCAAGGGCCATGTGGTGTCATTATAGGGGCCCAGCTGTGTACATATTGGCAGGGGTGGGGAGTCAAACTCGCAAGGTTACTACTCCCCTTTGCTGGCTCTGTTTATCCTTAGATTATTGGAATTTTGCTAAAAGAAACACACAAAACCGTTCTGATTGCCAGAGCTCCACAAAGATAAGAATGTAGAGAAGCCATAAAAATCTGTGAATTTCAGGGGCTTTTGGTATTGTAATCTCCAGGAAGCATGGGGCCGCTGGTTACGGGCATGGGCCAGGGGTCAGTGGAGGCCAGGAAGGAAGTGAACTCAGGGCACCTTTGTCAGTAATATCCCTCTTTCCCTAGCATTTCGGAGTGCATGGATAGTGAGGCGGAGACGGTCATGCAGCTCCGGAATGAGCTGAGAGACAAAGAGATGAAACTGACGGACATCCGCCTTGAAGCCCTCAGCTCTGCACACCAGCTCGACCAACTCCGGGAGGCCATGAACAGGATGCAGGTGAGCACCCAGGAGCACTGACGGAGCCCAAGGCTATCTGGGAAGGATTGGCAGGTGCCTGCTTCCTGCCACACCCCAAGGCCACATCAGAACCTGGTGGCAGCCCTCTGCTCTCCTAGTCTCTTTCTCTTTACAGTCAGTTCTTCCCACAGATTGCTAAAAAATATCAGAGAACCCTATCCCTCCTTTGTGTGAGACTTCCAGTGGCTCTGCTGTTGCCTCCTGGGTGAGTCGCAGTCTCCTTCACCTGGCCTTCAAGGCCTTCTACAGGATCTTGTCACTCTCAACCCCCCACTCACCATCACCAACTCTACTCTTCAGACTCTTCTCACCAGCCAAAGAGAGCCAGTCTCTGCCCCCTTTGCATGCCAGGAAGTTCTGTGTTATGGTGTCCCTCCACCGGGATATCTTTCTGCACAATCACATGGACCCTTTTCTTAAGGCTCAGCCTGAGGCCTCTTCCTCTGCAAAGCCTTTCCAGGTCCTGTAGGTCTGTTCTTACAACCCTCTCATCTTCTGCCGCAGGTTGAAGGCATTTGTGTCTTCTGAGCTATTCTTTTTTGCATCCCTTTCTCTGGGAATGCTTAGCACATAATAGGTTCTTTATAAATATTCATAGAATGAAAGATCTCTGCGGGTTCTTCTAAATGGGACCCACCTCCCCCACCCCCGTCCCCACCGCCACCCCGGAGAGCAAATCTGTCAAACCCAGAATTGCTCAAACTTAGATACAACTCCTTTTCACTTACCACTCAGACTTTGGGGAACATTTCTGAAGCCTTTCAAAGACCAGCTCTCTGAAAGGATGGACCCTGCCCTGCCCACAGGTCTGTGTATGCAGCAAAGGCAGCAAACACTGTGAATCCCTCTGATGGTGTAACTGACTCTGCCTCGGCTGGGCTACCCACTGAATCCCTGCAGGGGACTTCCAAACCCCTCCTCCAGAAAAGGCTTGCTCGCATTCCCTCCACCCAGTCAATGAGCTTCTCTTTTACACTTTGCAGAGTGAAATAGAGAAGCTGAAAGCTGAGAATGACCGGCTAAAGTCAGAGTCTCAAGGCAGCGGCTGCAGCCGGGCGCCCTCCCAGGTGTCCCTCTCGGCCTCCCCGAGGCAGTCCATGGGCCTCTCCCAGCACAGCCTGAACCTCACTGAGTCAACCAGCCTGGGTGAGTGGGTCACAGGGCTGGGGCAGGACAGGCCTGCAGCCGGCACCCGGTCTCTAAGCCAGAGCCCCAAGATAAGCAGCTCAACAGATCAAATGGGGAGGCAGCAGGCGTGTGTGCACTCGGGGTGTGTGTGTGTCTAGGCGTGCGTCTGCTACCAACATGAGCCCAGCCGTTAGACTGCTGTCATGCTTTGCTCCGGCACCTCAAGTGCTCCAAGCCATGAGCTTGGCTCCCCCCGCCCACCATGCTGACTTCTGTTTGATCCATTTTAAGAGGCTGACCTGCGAGTTGAACGCTGCATACAAACCCCACGGCAGCAGCGCCCACTTGGGGCATGGCTTGGTCTGTGATCTTCCGGCCTGCGGGCTGGATTCCAGGCTGGCGCAGTAATTATTGAACATGGTCTGGGTTTTCTCTGTAAGCATACGGAGGCTGACGCTTTGGTTTCTTATCCATGACGCTGCTGTTGCTCTTTTGGTTGAGTCTCCCTCGCACTTCCATTTGGCAAGGTACATCGTCAGCCCGCTGATTCCTTGGTTGGTCCACCGTTGGTTTCTGTGGTTGCATTCTCATTGCGCCCCCTCCCCTCCTCACCACCCCTACATCCCCCACACCCCGACACCTGGTTTGTCCCGCTGCTGTGCCGACAGGCAGCGGGGGTGTCGGGAGGCCGGCTTTGCTGCCCCATGTGCCTAAGGCTGTTGATGTTTTCCATTCGCAGACATGTTGCTGGATGACACTGGTGAATGCTCGGCTCGGAAGGAAGGAGGCAGGCATGTTAAGATAGTTGTCAGCTTTCAGGAGGAAATGAAGTGGAAGGAGGTTAGTTGGATCCCTTTCCCCGCTCTGCCTGCCTTTCCCCAGGTAGCACTACCTAGCTTAGCGATTTCTTCATCAAACCCTATGACCTCAAGCACCTAAGGGGATTTGGAAACACTAATGCTTTCCTTAACTAACCAGAATCCCAGCAGCATATTGACACAATTGACGTGAGAGAATAGCCCTGCCCTCTCTCGTTTGGAAAGTCTAATGAAGAGTGGTCCCACCTTCACTTTCACGCAACTCACTAAACACTAACGTCACTCAGCAATGGCTTTTCTGGATGTAATATGTCTTCAAAGCAGGGCAAAGGCCGCTAAGCACACTTAGCACAGAAGGCACAGAAGTCAGCTGACTGAGAGCACCAGGTTTATGCAGTTGTTAGAGGCTGTGCTGCAGTGGAGTAGACACCGAGGGACACAGGGGGCTAGTGCAGGGAGCACACAGGTGGCTGAGAGTGAAGGGTGGGACGTCCTGACTCACCAAGGCTGGGATGTGGAATCTGAGTTTTCTGGTACTTTCGTTCTCTTCCAGAGTCTCAGGAGGCCATGTCCCCAGCAGGGACTATTCTGAGGTAGAAGTGGGGTTGAACATCAATGTTGGTGTTTAGCCAAACTAATCGTTCACAGGCCTGTGACAGTGAGGCAGAGACCCCAAGGAAGGTCAGCTCTTCTCCCCCTCGCTCCACAGCCCGTTTCAACTTGGGCTTCGGCTGCAAAAGAAGGGAAGATATCGTAAAGCACCCATTGATTAAATCCAAGTCATGCTGTGAATGACCATCTCACAAATAAGTGGGCCGAGGCTGCATGAGTCACTAAGTCCCCTTCAGTTTTTATGTTTGTTAGTTCCTAGCATTCCAGCCAACGTGTCCCTTTTAGTCCCTGAGAGCTGGGAAACCTGTAGTTCCCACCCAAGCAAAGCGTCTGCAGCCAGACCTGCCTTAGCCAGGGGTTCCACTTGGTGCTGGCTCTCTAGTCTCAGGGAATTTGAGGGCTGCCAGCGGCTCTCACATCATTCAGCCCAGAAAGCAGCTCCAATAGCGAACTCCAGTTTCAGAGCCTCGCTGGTGGAGTGATGGACTGCCAAGGGGGGAGTTCATTCTTAGAATACATGCAGGTGATAGCTGCGAATGTGTTGTATTCTAGTGATTACCAGCATGAACAGATAGATTTTATGTCTTACAAAAGTTTGTGAGTCACTTTAAAAAATTGTATGGCTTTGGATCAGCGCAGAAGCCAGATGAGGTTGGTTGACCAGATGTAATTAGCTCCATTTTATAATTGAGAATCCTGAGGCCCAAGCATCACTTACTGAAGGTTACAAAGCAAGCGATGGGGCCAGGTCATCTCGCTGCAGACTGGTGCTCTGTTCTCTGCTGATTGTGCTTAACTGCCAGATACACCCGTCCCTGCCCCTGCCACTCACCTAATTCTACATCCTTATGAGCATGTCAGATATTTTTAAACCCAACAGAATGGAATGTTCTATTAGCTTCTTTGTAATCAATATAATTACTTAGCCTCCACCATGCAGAGCCCTGTGGGCAGAGATTATTTTTCTGTAATTTCCCAGAGTTTTATTAAAGTTTTCTCAATTGAGTATGTTTTCACTTTTAATTAAAAGAAAAGCAATGCACATTATTTAAGAAACAAAAAAGAAAAAATAGAAACATAGTCTATCCTGAGGGAGTTTAAGAGCTAGCAAGACAACAAACTTAATTTACAAATGAGACAGAAATACCTAAAAATAAACAATACAGACTATGCCATTATATAAGTTGTATACAGAATCATTAAAGTAATGTGAGCTCTGAGCCTGGTAAATCAATCATTGAAAGCTTCCTGGAAGAGGTGAGTTTATCATCAATGTTTGGGAAAGGAAAAATGGCAGACAGGAGAGGGGAGAGCATGCCAAGCAAGGGATGTGACCTGCATACTGGACAAGGTTTGCATTCAGTAGAAGGTTCTAGATTCCAAAAGGAGAGCCTCCCTTCCTGCCCCACAGATTGCATTTTTAGCAATAGAGCAAGGGAAGGTGTTAAGACTATTGCATTCAGTCTAAATAATACCTGATGTTAAAACAAATAGGACTGGTATTCCCCTCTCGGACCTTTGGTGGAGCTCTGGGACAGTCTGGGTCCTTGCTAACCCGTGTCAGAAAAGGTCCACCTGTTTTTCACCTGCATACATTTTCTTACCCTTAGGATTCCAGGCCACACATCTTTCTTATTGGCTGCATTGGAGTGAGTGGCAAGACGAAGTGGGATGTGCTCGATGGGGTGGTTAGACGGCTGTTCAAAGTAAGTGTTTCAAGGAGACAGACGGCTATGGCAGTCTGCCTGAAGCGGGGCCTGGGCTTAGGGAGGGAAGGATGGTTCATGTCCTGAACCCGGCCATTTCTCAGGCCTGTCCCCTCTCCCACATCCTTATGTTGCTGGGACTTGTCCCCTGGCACTCAAATGATCAGAAGGAAGATGGTAAGTACAGACCGCTGACGGGCCAGACTGTTCCAACTGCCCTTGGCTGTCACTGGTGAGCCAGAGGGTCATTTCTCCAGCAGTGAGCAATTGTTTGAACCCCTGACAGGGAGCTTCTCATGTCCAAATCTACCTTCACCTTAGACTCGTCCAATTGCATCTGCTTTGGAGTGTGTGTTCATTGGCTGTGGCTAAAACATCAGATTTCCATTCTTTATTTCCGGCGATTTGATCAACTTGCCCACGTCCTTGCCAACACTTCATTCTGTGATTAGTGCTACACGGACATTAACATCTGGTCAATGGCCAGTGTCAAGGATGTTGGCATAGTTATTTTTGTATTTATTCCAATCACATCATTGGAGTGGGTTTTACCACAGGAGAAATGAGCAAAGAGTACTGAAGTGAGCCTTGAAATTCAGTGTGGTTTGAAGGAAGCTTTCAGCACACTTCTTTCTATTGTCCTGAAGCAAGGCAACAGCAATAAGTGTTCATTCGTCATGTCCCCTGGGAAGCACTAATGACCCACGTTTTCTGTGCCTGAGACCCTACCAAGCACTTTCCTTACATCACCCCGATTTATTTTCAGGCCTGTAAGAAGCTTCTATTATTTTCCCATTTAAAGGCGAAGAAGGTTGGGCTCAGGTTGGGTCACTTGCCCAAAGTCATGGATCTAAAACCAGATTCTGTTGGTCCAGTTGAGTTGGCCTGGCTTCTGACTTAACTAGTCCACTCTGGCCTCTTTCTAGCATCTAGACTCAGGTGACTTCACACAGAGGAAACTGTTCTTTGACCAAAGATTGCTCATCATCTTCACAGGCCAGTCCATAGAAATGTGAGTAGGCAGGTGTTCAAGGCCAAGGGCAGCCCAATCATGTTACCTGGGCCAAAACCTTATCTCTGATGATGGGCAGTCGGACATCCTTGGATTAGAAAGACACCACATTGGGCTGAGAAGAACGTGTGGGGTGTCACATGTGAGGAAAGAGACCATTGAAGGTAGAGGTCTGTTACTGGGCTTCCACCTTGGCCATCGTCTGGCCATCTCAGAGCCCGCAGCCCATGGCTCTTCGTTCCAAGTTCGTGGACCTAAATTAAACCTTTGGGTCACTCACCTAAGAGGGAATTCTCCCAATGAAGGACACATTTTCCTGTTTAAAGTTCCAGGAGCTGCTTTTTTTCTAGCAGCCCTGGGTTCTGCTCCCTTTGTCATCAGTATGGCCTTTGCTCTGAGCCAAAAGGAGGGGCTGGTGGAGAGATTTCTTGTCAGAAATTTCCCAGCACCATTCACAGGTCTCGATGCCTTTGAGACTTGAGCTCAGGAAAAGCAGCCTGACTTTTCCGTGCTCGGTTGACCCAGACTAAACGTTCACAGTGCCCGTGACAGTGAGGCACCGATGCCGTAGAACATGAGCCCTCCTGCCCTCGCTCCACAGCCCATTTCAATGCAGGCTTCAGCTGAGAAAGAAGAGCAGATGATTGTAAATCACCCAATGAAAACATGAGTCATGGGCAGATTTTTAGCCACATCTCTGATGGAGTCTTTGTTTTACTTTTTCCAGGAATACATCATTCACGTCGACCCAGTGAGTCAGCTCGGGCTGAATTCGGACAGTGTGCTGGGCTACAGCATCGGGGAAGTCAAGCGCAGCAACACCTCCGAGACCCCCGAGCTGCTGCCCTGTGGCTACCTGGTGGGAGAGAACACCACCATCTCCGTGACCGTCAAAGGTAACTCCCCGGATGCAGAGGCCGGGGCTTTCAGGAACTGCGTGTGTGTCTCTTCATTTTGTGACTTGGCTCGGCATACTGTGGCCACAATGTTGTTTGTGCATATGGATGTGGGTTGTTGTGTTTTTTCTCCCTTTGACCACAGTTATTCTTACCTAAGCGAGTTAAACCGTCCTTAGCTTTTTCAACCACCATCGGAAACAAATAATTTTAGTTGACTGCTGAAATTATAGAACAAACGTTCCCATTAGCCTGATGACTCTGAGATGATGGAATCTTAATAACCTTGTGGAAATGGAGCCCCACCAATGCCAAGGGATTACTCTTGCCAGCAAGCCTTGGATGGGGTCCCATCCTACAGATGGGGAAGCCACGCATTGCTGTAGGCTAGAGAGGACTCGCTCTGGACACCCTGAGCCCACGCACGGTGCTGCCGGGGCTTCCGATGGCCTCATCACCCAGAGATGTTGAGCCCCAAGCCAAAGAGTGTTCCATGGAACTCCAGGCCCACAGAGTACTTGGGGGGAGAAAGGGGAATTTCGTGGCCAAATAACTATGGGAAACTGCATCATTATCCCCGTCTGGATTTGGAGGGCAGGGGACAGGAACATCCTGATACACTCAAGGCTCTATCCTTTCATGTCCTATCTCTGGGCATTCACAGGGCTGTTTAATCCAGGCTGACACAAATGTATCTGACTGCAAAACCCCTTTTTCCTATATTTGATGAACCACCTAAAAGAATAGACCAATCAACATGGTACTAAGTGCAACCTCCAGGTTGTCCTGTTTCTTGCTTCCCTCGAGGGCACTGACCTTGCCTGTAGTTTAACAGTGCAGTTTCGGGGGTGTTTGGTGCAAGTTTTGTTTCCCGATCCGTAGGTTTTCCAAAGGTACCCCAGCATTCCTTATCCTAGACCAGTGATGGTGAACCTTTTGAGCTTGGCGTGTCAGCATTTTGAAAAACCCTAACTTAACTCTGGTGCCGTGTCACATAGAGAAATTTTTTGATATTTGCAACCATAGTAAAACAAAGATTTATATTTTTGATATTTATTTTATATATTTAAATGCCATTTAACAAAGAAAAAATCAATAAAAAAATGAGTTTGCGTGTCACCTCTGACACGTGTGTCATAGGCTCACCATCACTGTCCTAGACCTTGGAACGCAGACCTGGTCCTGCTGGTGACAAGCAGTAAGGCACTGCTTGAACCTCACAGGCAGCCTCACTTTGTTGGCGTGTGGAATTCCACAGTCAGGGCTTGGGCTGCTAGTGACAGAGACGTACTCAAACCAGCTTTAGCAAAAACGGAAACGTAAAGGCCCTTTACCTGGAAAGCCCAGGACACGCTTCCCACACAGCTGGGTTCCGATGTTCCCACAGTGCACCAGGACCACGCTGCCTCCGTTTCTTGTATTTTTTGAGCTCTCTGCACATAGCATGGCCCCCATGGCCCTGATTCATTTTTCTAACTTAGAAACCTAGAAAAAAGCGGTTGTCTTTTTGGAATAGTGAGACAGAAAATTCTTTGGGGTGGTTTTGCCCCACCGTGAGTCAGACACTCATCACTGAATCCGTCCTTGTGACCGGGAGGGGCTTTGGTTCAGCTTAGTCATAAGCCCACACCTGTGTGGGTGCAGGGGCTGAGAAAGCCATACTTAAAACATCTTACTGAGCTCCCCATAAGAGGAAAGAGTTCTATAGGAGAAGGTAGAAAGGGTACCAGGCACACCAAAACACCTCCCACTACACACTGGAACAGCTGCCCCTACACATAGAACAGCCCCCACTATACACCAGAACAGCCCCAACTACACATAAAACAGCCCCCACTACACACCAGAACAGCCCCCCCTACACACAGAACAGCCCCCACTACACACCGGAATAGCCCACCCTACACACAGAACAGCCCCCACTACACACCGGAACAGCCCCCACTACACACCGGAACAGCCCCCACTACACACAGAACAGCCCCCACTACACACAGAACAGCCCCCGCTACATACAGAACAGCCCCCACTATACACCGGAACAGCCGCCCCTACACACAGAACAGCCCCCGCTACATACAGAACAGCCCCCAATATACACCGGAACAGCCGCCCCTACACACAGAATAGCCCCCGCTACATACAGAACAGCCCCCACTATACACTGGAACAGCTGCCCCTACACACAGAACAGCCCCCACTACACACCCGAACAGCTGCCCCTACACACCAGAACAGCCAGGGTTCACATCCCCCAGTCAGATGGTCCTACTTTGCATTTGCTTGTTTTTAAAATAAAACTGTTGTTACCTTCATGGTGCATCTGAGTGTGGGAAGCAGTGGCGCCTGGCACTCAGGAGAGAGCAGGGTGAGGAAGGAACCCTAAGGTAATGGCAGACACGGAAGGCAAAGGTTTGGGCAAACGCCATCAGTTGGCAAATCCAGACAGACAAGCCGAGCCCAGAGTCTTAGGGATTCTGCAGAGAACAGACGAAGGCCAGGGGCCCAGGTCTGAAAGGTGAGCAAAAGTCAGCCAAGCCAGGGCCAGAGCCCGTGCCCAGGCTGCTCCTGAGCAGGAAGCAGCGGCAGTTTGCACCAGGGCCTCGGTGAGCAGGCTGCCCAGGAAAGGGATGGCCTCCAGTCATGGCAGGCCCAGCTGGGCAAGCACAGAGCTCCCCTTTCTGCAGGACTTGAGACACTTCCTCTCCCACACAGGGCTCGCGGAGAACAGCCTGGACTCGCTGGCGTTCGAGTCCCTGATCCCCAAGCCCATCCTGCAGCGCTACGTCTCCCTGCTGGTGGAGCACCGGCGCATCATTCTCTCCGGCCCCAGCGGCACCGGGAAGACCTACCTGGCCAACCGGCTGTCCGAGTACCTGGTGCTTCGGGAGGGACGAGAGCTGACAGACGGGGTCATCGCCACCTTCAACGTGGACCACAAGTCCAGCAAGGTGAGGAGAGCTTTCGGAGGCTGCTGCCCAGCCAGGGCTCACCTTTGGGCCCTTTCAGAACTGTGGATGTCACCCCACCCTGATGGAAAGCAGCATTTTCTATATGCTCACCTTAGTGTTATGAGAGCCCAGTGAAGGTCAGGATGGGGCTAGCAGGAAGTAAGGCTTTGACCCAAAACTTCCCACTAAATTTCACCTGTACGTCGATCTAGTTCATTTCTTGCTTCCCCACTATGAGCCGCATGTTCAGTGCTAATAGTTCCTGAAGTCCACTTCAATTTACCAAGAATGTATCATGTGCCTGGTGATGCTATTGTTTTTCCAACACGAAACCCTTTTTGGAACAAGAATGATAGTTCATATTGACAGACTGCCCCATGACCGCAAGCTGGCTGCCTCACAGCTCACAGCTATTCGCCATGAAGGGACCAGTTGCTGCTATCCCCACTTCACAGAGGAGGAAACTGAGGCCTGAGGCAGATGGTCATGTGTCTGGGTCACTCAGGCGGTACTGAGAAGTGGACTGGAGCACAAGTCAAAGCCTTGGACTCCAGAGCCAGAAAATAGGCTTGGCCCTGCCTCACAGGGAGCGATGGAGACATTGGACGGTCTGACAGTCCCAGCCGCGGGTTGGGAAGGGATTTCTCACACTTGTTTGCTATTCTCGCAGTGGAGTTAATGGTAATTCCCTCTGGCTGGCCCTCTGCAAAGGGGCCAGAGTCCAAGGTGAACTGGAAAGGACTCTTCCACCTTAGGAATCACCTGGCTTCCTCACCCTCATTTCCTGGTGCCCTGTTCCAATAGGTTGCGTGGGCCGGGAACCTGGGCCATTCACAGGTTTCCAGGTGACTTGGATGTGGGGATAGGACTAGAGAGAAGTGGTTCGAGCCCCCGAGTCGAGTGCTTCAGTGAGCTGAGGGGGGCATTCTCTCCAGGACCAGTGAATGAAGGACCCCTGGCTGGGCACCTCGTGCAGAAGGCATCTCACCCTCTGTACCACGAAGGCCTGAGTAGGGGTGGGAGGCCCAGGAGCCCTGTCACTGTAAGGCTGAGGCCAAGAACCCAGATGGAAAGGAGCTCAAAGAAGGAAAAATTACTAGTAACTCAAAAAGTTGGGCTGAAGCCGCATTGTGACTTATGAGGGAGACATGGGCATGTATGTGTTCGTAGGAGGCGGCGGCTGGCATGCCGGAGTGTCGGGTGTGAGGAGCACACTGAACAGGCACCGAGTCTGAATCCAGCCCGCTGCTTGCCTCTCTGCAATCTCAGGGCAGTCACCTGACTTGGGTGTGCCTCAGTTTCCCTCTCTGTAAACGGGAGCTACACATAGTACCCACCCCAGAGGGTTGTGGGCTACAGCAGTTCGGCTGTGTGAGGCCCTCAGAGCTGTGCCCGGCTCTAGGTCATGCCAGCATGATGGTGACATCACCAGGCAGTCATCCTGGGTTCTCTGGCCAGTCCTTAACTCGCCATTTCAGCCCTTTCCCCTTCTGCACCATTATTCTTCTCTTCCTTTTTAGAACACAGGCCTTCCCCGGCCACACTGAGCTGTGTTCTGGCCCCAGCTCCAGCCAATCCCCAGCCGTTCTTCACAGTTCAATTCAGATCTCACCCTTTCACCCAGACCTCCCAAAGCCCCTGTGCATGCAGACCCACCTCCCCCTGCACTGTTGGATGTCTGCTACACCGCTTCTCAGCGGCACTTAGGGGGATGCTGTGCGATATTATTCATGGAGGGCTTCTGCATACATGGCCCTCAGGCAGGCGCCGTGGAAGAGCACCTTATACAGAACCTATGCAGCTTACACAGAGGTGTGTATGGCACCTCTGGAGCCCTTTGGAGCTTCCTGGGAGGTTGGCACAATAAGAACTATCCAAGAAAAATGGCGACACATAGAGAGAAGTGGTAGAGCAGGGATACAGAACCGGCACCTCCACGCTGCTGTGCTCTGGCCCTCGGCTGAAGGAGTTCTGTTACCTAGTGAAAGCCAGAAGGCAGGACGCAGGCCTTCCCCACCCTGTCCTCCCCGCATCACCCAAGCGGACCCCTGCAGCAGGCAGGCATGCTGCCCATGGAGGGCCTGCCCCTTGCGTTGGCCTGGGCGACGTGCAGGCTCTGAGCATGTGCTCTTCATCGGCTGCATCCTGCCCTTCCCTGGCCCATGCAGGAATTGCGCCAGTACCTGTCCAACCTCGCCGACCAGTGCGCCAGTGAGAACAACGCTGCGGACATGCCCCTCGTCATCATCCTGGACAACCTGCACCATGTCAGCTCCCTGGGCGAGATCTTCAATGGGCTGCTCAGCTGCAAGGACCACAGATGGTAAAGGCCAGCTCCGGGCCCTGGTCCCGGGAGAACAGCCACAGGGGAGGTGTGCTGCACAGACCTGTGCCCATGCACGGCTGGGGTTCAGTGTGGGGAGCCGGGAAGCAGCCAGCCAGCTGCCTGGACGGACCCTGTAGGCCCGTCCGGAGCTGGGCTTGCCTCACAAAGTCCTCTTCTTTCCTCTGTGTCCCCCACAGCCCTTACATAATCGGCACAATGAACCAGGCTACCTCTTCCACTCCCAACCTGCAGCTCCACCACAACTTCAGGTAAGCTGTCACCCTCTGAGTGCCAGTTCTGTGCCAGGCATCGTGTGGAGCATTTTTCCCGGCTTCACTCTTCATTCTCACAATAGCCCCATGCAGTTACATTTCTCATTCGCAGCTTGCAAATGGGGAGACTGAGACTGGGAGAATTAGATGACTCGTGTGAGGTCACGAAGTCCTGGGGTAGCAGAGACAGGGAGGCAGCTCCGGGCAGGGGCAGTAGGCCACTCACCTCCCGTGCACATCAGGGGCGCGTCTCTCGGGGGCCCAGGTGAACATGAGCAATGAAGGCCCTTGCTTTGTCCCCAAGAGCTGTCTGGGGGTCTGTGGGCCTTTGCCTCCAGCTGCCATGTGTCCTCTGCCCCAGCACCACACGGGGCTCCCTGCTGGGTGTGGGAAGAGCTGCTGCACTGTCGTGCCTGGGTGGGTTGCCACTTGCCTTGTGGTGCCATCGCTAAACGCCCTTTGCCCCACTTTGACCCCTTGGTGACCCCAGGGCTCCTTGCCTCCTGCTGGCCCTTAGATGATGAGAATCGTGTCCTGGGATGGCACCCTCGCCCATTCTCACTGGCCACTCTGCAGGCATCCCTGAGGGAGATCTCTGGGAAGTGGGCCTCAATTGTCATTCCCTGGGAAATGTGACCTCCTCCAGGCCCCTGAGATTGTGGCTCCCCTCCGCATCCAGGCTGTCCCTGTCTTGTCCACACTTTCTCCTAAAGATGCTTCAAGTCCTTCCTCCTCCTCCTTCCCCCGCCACTGTCACACCACATCACCTCCCTGGGCACTACTGCCTGCAGAGTGGCCTCATCCTCTGTGCCAGTGGCAGCTGGCATGAGCGTCCTAGTATTCAAATCTGACCATAAACCCTCCCCCCTGAAGTGATTTAGTGGTTCCTCATCGCCTCTAGAATGCATCCAGGTTCCTTGGGTTGGCAGGTCAAGTCTAAAGTCTGGTTACATGGCCTCTGGCAGTTTCCTCAAATACCCACCCCTTTTCCCATGTCTCTGCAAATGCTTCAGCAAGCTCTCCACCTGCCACCCCACCCCCTGCTCCTGCCTTTGCTTATGTGGCTGCTCCATCCATTCTTCCAGTCCCAGCCCAGACAGCCCCTCCTCCGAGGAGCCTTCCCTGATTCCCTGGGCTTCATCATGCCTCAATTCCTCTGTTTGCTTATCTGCTTCCTCGACAAGACTGTGAGCTCCTGGGAACAGGGACGAATGTGTCTCAGTCATTGTTACAGCTCTATGACCCAGCACAGGGCCTGACACAAGCACGAGAGGCAGCAGACTCGGTGGTTAGAGCTCAGACTTTGGAGCTGCACTGTCTTGGTTCTAACCTTAGCTCTTCTATTAACTTGCTTCTTTGATCTTGGACATAACCTCTCTGCGCCTTCACATTTCCATCTGTGAAATGGGGATGGCGATAATATCTGTGTCATGGGGTTGCTGTGAGGAAAGGTGAATTAATATACATGCAGTGTTTGCACAGGGAGTCCTACTTCAGTGTCAGCATACACACCATCTGTCTAGTTCTCGTGTGCGTTGAGTCTTGAGGTTAGCCCTTGTTTCTTCACTGTCGTAATCATTGAAAACCTGATGCCCCCCAGGTGGGTGCTTTGCGCCAACCACACGGAGCCCGTGAAGGGTTTCCTTGGCCGGTTCCTGAGGCGGAAGCTCATGGAGACGGAGATCAGTGGGCGGGTGCGGAATGTGGAGCTGGTGAAAATCATCGACTGGATTCCCAAGGTCTGGCATCACCTCAACCGCTTCCTGGAGGCTCACAGCTCCTCAGACGTCACCATAGGTAGGTGGGCAGCCAGGCGAGAACGGTGGGTGGGCTGGCTCAGGGCGGCGCTGAGCTCGGCTCCTCGGAGACTGTCCGGGGGCCCTGGTCAGGGCAGCAACCTGCAGGCCCAAGTCAGCTGGACTCTGTTCTGTTCATGTGGACAGAGAAGGAGGCAGAGGGGACAGTCCCAGCCCAAGGCAGACCCCCGACTGCCTCGCCCACGTCCCTTGCTGTGTCTCTGCCCCTCTTGCCTTGCCCATTGCCCTGGGGCTGATGAGCAGCAAGAGATGGTCCAGCCTGGGCCGATGTGGAAACTGCCAGCTCAGTGAAGTGCCCAACCACGAAGGCTCTGCTTTAAAAATAAAGTAAAACGTTACCAACATTCCTGGAGCTTAAGAATTTAGAACAGAGGAAAAAAGGTCATTGATCATCCCACCCTCCTGACATGATTATTTTAATTTGAGCTGATTTTTTGCCCTTGTCCACACATAGATATTTTACTTAGTTGCCATCAGAGTATACCTACAGCACGTTCATTTCTTTTTCACCTCACATTGTCTCGTACGCATCCTGAGTTACTGCTCCAGTTTTATAATTATTTTTAAAGGCTGGAAAAGACTCCCGTGCGGGTACGCCATCATTCGCGGCACCATTTCTGTTTTCTTGGACATTTAGTGTGTTTGCATTTTCAAAGGTCAGGACTAATAATACCACGAGGAACATCTTTCTCCATAAAGCCTCTCCTCTCTTTTGGGTGATTTCCTGGGGCAGAGAGATCCTGGGGGTCGGGAGGAGGGGTGTTGTAGAGCCCACATGTCCTGCTCTGTGCCCGCCACCGGCAGGTGGAATTTCTGCTGTCACTCAGAAATTGGGAGGGATGCTTGGATCGTGGCTTCTCCTGGCTTCTCCCCAACTCAGCTCTGATGGATTTTCGTTTGGTCCCCAGGCCCCCGGCTCTTCCTGTCATGCCCCATCGACGTGGATGGCTCCAGGGTGTGGTTCACCGACTTGTGGAACTACTCAATTATCCCCTATCTCCTGGAAGCCGTCAGGGAAGGACTCCAGGTGAGACACGGCAAAATGAGGGGGTGGGGGGGGAGGGGGACTGTTCTAGTGACCAGATGAGGGGGCTTTATCTCCTCCTCCGGGATTCTGACTGACATGAGGTGACAGCCCCTCCCTCACCTGTGAGGCCAGCAGTCTGGCACAGTGCAGGGACACACTTGGCTGTAAGTCCTGGCTCTGCCACTTGTTAGCTGTGTGACCCCAGGCAAGTCGTTCAGCCTCTCTGTGCTACGGTGCCCTCGTGGATAGAAAAGGAGAATAACAGTCCTGTGCCACAAAGACTTTTTGCAAAGGGTAAATGAATCCTGGCTGCGATGCGCTCAGCATAGTGAGTGCAAAGAAACAGAAGCAAGCGTGTGTAGCACTTCACAGTTTACAAAGTACTCTCACATCTGCTATTTGGTTCAAGCCCTGCATTTGTCCTGGAATATAGAGATTTTTTTCATCTCCATTTTTCAAAGGAGAAGAGTTGAGTCTCAAAGGAGAATAAGTGACTTGCCAGGGGTCATAAGAGTCAACCTTGAAAAATCTGGGATTTGAGTCCACGCCTCTGGCTGGAATCCCAGGTTCTCTGCCCTCGGGCGGCCATGGCACTCCCTACCTGCCTGGGTCCCCTCCCCCGGTGACTGTGGGCTCATGAGGCAGCACGTCCCATCTCACTCAGCCCAAGGTCAGCTCCAGGAGCTCAGCCATAGATGGAAGTTTTATTGTGGAGCCTGGAGGCAGCCTGAGAAGCTCTGGGCTTGGCCCCCACGGTTCCGTGATGAGCATGTGTCATGCACAGCTGAATAGTCAGCAACCAGTTTAGCAGCCGGTTCCCAGGGCTTCTCTGTTCCTCGGTCCTGGGCATCGGGAGACACAAGACGCTGCCGTAGGCCTGTGGAGGTCACGGAGGGTGCGTGCCCCGTGCGTGCGTGTGACAGTACAATGGCTGTGTGTCATTTCCATGCATTTGGCTGAGCCTAGCGAGTGTCTGACTGCTTGTCGGTAACATGCAGCCGCACTGAGGGTCTTCAGAAGCACTCAGACAAGAACTTGAAAAGGGCAGGAAACCAGAGCCAAGCCTCCATCTCATAAGACATACGG